GCGCAGTGCGAGGAGGAGGAGGAGGAGGAGGAGGAGGAGGAGGAGGAGGAGGAGGGACGACCCGGCCGCGGTCGGCGCGGGCGAACGGTCGTCAGCGAACGCCTGATAATGGCCAGCGGCGGTGGAGGAAGTGCCAAGCGGCTGGGCGCCCGAGCAGGGCCGAGCAGGGCCCTCCTTCCCCCTGCCTCCCCATCTTCCGCCTCCTCCTACCCCACGACACCCCTCCTGAGCTCCTGCCACTGCTCCTGCTCCTCCCCCTTTTTCTGCCTCCCGCATTCTCCCCCACTTTGCTACCCCTCCTCCCCAATCCCATGCTCCTCTTTCAGCTCCTCCTACTCCTCCTGCTCCTCCTCCTCCTCCTCCTCCTCCTCCTCCTCATCATCATCATCATCATCCTCATCCTCATCCTCATCATCATCCTCATCCTCATCCTCATCCTCATCGTCATCATCATCATCATCATCATCATCATCATCATCATCATCATCATCATCATCATCGTCATCGTCATCCTCAGCAGCAGCATCATCAGCATCAGCAGCATCATCAGCATCAGCATCAGCATCAGCATCAGCATCAGCATCAGCATCAGCATCATCATCATCATCATCATCATCATCATCACCATCATCATCATCATCATCATCACCACCAGCATCATCATCATCGTCATCATCATCGTCATCCTCAGCAGCATCAGCAGCATCAGCAGCATCATCAGCATCATCATCATCACCATCATCATCATCACCACCACCACATCCATCATCATCAGCATCATCAGCATCAGCATCAATCAGCATCATCATCATCATCATCATCATCATCAGCATCAGCATCAGCAGGCATCAGCATCATCATCATCATCATCATCATCCTCATCATCATGAGCATCATCAGCATCAGCATCATCATCAGCATCATCATCATCATCATCAGCATCATCATCATATCATCATCATCGTCGTCGTCAATCATCATCATCATCATCATCATCATCATTCAGCATCATCATCATCATCATCATCATCATCATCATCATCAGCATCATCATCATCATCATCATCATCATCATCATATCATCATCATCATCATCATCATCACCATCATCATCATCATCATCATCATCATCATCATCATCATCATCATCATCATCATCATCATCATCATCATCATCATCATCATCATCATCATCATCATCATCATCATCATCATCATCATCATCATCATCATCATCATCATCATCATCATCATCATCATCATCATCATCATCATCATCATCATCATCATCATCATCATCATCATCATCATCTTTCTTCTTCGAGGAGAACATGGCAAAGAGAACGAGGCGAAGGAGCGGGAGGAGGAGGAGGAGGAGGAGGAGGAGGAGGAGGAGGAGGAGGAGGAGGAGGAGGAGGAAGGAGTGGGGGGGAGGGGACCGTGTCCCGTCTCCAGACATCTGGCGTCCTGACTTTCCGTGGCTTGAGCCCCCAAACCCCTCGACCCCGTCCAGACGACTGGCGCTTCATCACCAGGCAGCTGTTTGCACTGACCTGGGGCCCGAAACGTGCCTCCAGAGACCCAGGACATGAGGGCACTGGCGATCCCCATTTTCGGGGGCGGCCACAAGGGGGGCGTCCAAAAGGGGGGGGCGCAAATCATGGCCCGCGGCATGTGCGCGGCCCAGGGGGGGGGGGGCAGGGACGTCATGAAATAAGAAGAGGCGCCATGAAATTTGAGGAAATATCGTGGCCCCCGCCATGATATCCCCCCCCCGGGAGTCATCACCCCCCTCCTGGCTGCCCCCGACGTGTTGCCCGTGGCGGCAAAAAACGGCCTGAGGCCCAGGGCCTCGCAGTCCGACCCCCGGACCTCTCCAGGGCCGCCTCCACGACCGAGGATCGCGTCATCCAGGAGGAGGGAGGAGGAAGATGAAGAGGGAGGAGGAGGAAGATGAAGAGGGAGGGGGAGGAGGAGGAGGAGGAGGAGGAGGAGGAGGAGGAGGAGGAGGAGGAGGAGGAGGGAGGAGGAGGAGGAGGAGGAGGAGGAGGAGGAGGAGGAGGAGAGGCAGGAGCAGGAGGAGGAGGAGGCGGAGGAGGAGAAGGAGGAGGAGGCGGAGCTCGCCGTGGCCCCAGGTCGCGCCAGCCAGAGAGGCACCGACCAAGGCCCAGGCCCAGGCCCAGGCCATCGCTCGGACGCCCACACCCGGTGCACCTGTCGTTTTTCTGTGCGCGGGCTCCCTCGGCTCGCTGATCCGGGATGCTCCTCGGCAGGGCTGGGCCTAAGCTCTGCTCTTCGTACTTCGTCCTGAGGTGTCTCGTTTTGCTCTGCCTGTTTTCCTGCAACTCCCTGCCAGGCCGAATAACAAAAACACAGCCGGAGTCCAGCAAAACAGCGTTCAGGTCCAGCTCCTCGACAGGGCTGGGCCTAAGCTCTGCTCTTCGTCCTGAGGTTTCTCGGTTTGCTCTGCCTGTTGTCCTGCACCTCCCTGCCAGGCCGAAAAAAACAAAAACACAGCCAAAGTGCAGCAAAACAGCGTTTAGGTCCGGCCCTGCTCCTCGAGGTGCCCCTGCCGAGGGCGAGTGCACACGCCCCAGCAAGGCCGAGCAGAGGAGAGCCGCCCCTGCCCTCGATCCAAGACCGAGAGGCGACGTGGAGGTCTGAGGGTCGTGCCCCTCGTGCGAGCGCGCGCTGCCCCCCTCCCCCAGGATTAGGCAGGGCTGGACCTGAACGGTGTTTTTTTGTCGATCTCGTGGGCCGTTTTCGTTTTGACTTCGTTGTGAGGTAAAGGCGGATTCGAGGCAAGAGCGAGGGACAACGACCACAAAACGAAAACGAAAAACACCGTTTGGGTTCCGCCCTGAGATTTAGGGACACGGAGCATCGGCGCCACCACCAGCACCCGCGAGGAGCCAGGGCGCGCCCCCCCGGGCGGTGCGGCCCCCCCCCGCCGCTCCGCGGAGCCCCGCCCCATGCAGTGTTCAATCTCGAGCCCGGGGAGGCGCCGCGCCCCTCTCCTCGCCAAGGAGGCGGCCCGCTGAGTGGTGTTGCTCTCGCTCCTGCTCTTACGTGGCGTGTTCGGGGGGGCTTCCACCCTCCGGATCTTCGCCTCCGGCTCCTGTCCACGGCGTTCCTTTTCCTGTGCAAGCTCCTCGGCACCGCCTGCACCCCGGCCCGCCCTCCGGCCGCCTGAGGCCCCGCCCGCCTGTGCCCTGTCTCCCCAATTAGAGCTGTGCGTAGCCCGCCTAGCTTTTCACCTGAAGAGGTTCGCTCTCGCCCCGCCGACCCAAAAAATGTTCGGGGGGGCTTCCTTTTCCCACCGCGCCAGACAGCCACGCGCGTCGAGTCCGCGCCGGATCCACATCGCACCTCGGATCCGCGCCGAATCCGCGTCGAGCTCAGGACGAGCCCGCATCGGAGACAAGGAAAGACCGCACCTCCCAGGACTGACTACCTACCAGACCACCCCAACCCAACCCGAAGACCCGAATTTCGAGTTGGGGGGGGTAAGGGTTCCACATGTGTTTTTTCGACGTTTCCCGACCCCCCCACTGGAAATCGAAGGTAAATTTGAGCCTTCGGGTTGGGTTGGGGTGGTTTGGTGGGTGGTGAAGGACGAACCACGTGCTCCAAATATGCCGCGTAGCTTCTCCTGCCCCCGACCAGGGCCCAGCGCGCGCGGGAAGAAGTCTATGTCCATGCGCTCGCGGTCTGGGTGCCGAGGCGCGATCCCATAAGCGCGCGATCCCATGGATCCGCTCTGCGCGGGGCGCGCAGAGCCGCCCTGGACCCGTGGGGTCGAAGCCCGGGAGTCCAGACCGCTCGTTGGCCGCGCGCACTAGGGGGTGCGGGGAGGGGTCTTAGAAGCAGGCTGCCTCTTAGGAGGCGCGGGCCTTAGGTCTGTAGACAGGGCCCGCGCCTGCTAAGATGCAGCCTGCTTCTAAGAGGCCTTCCCCCCTCCCCCTACCCCCTTGTGGCCCCTTGTGCGCGTGGCCGAGCTAGGTCGAGGATGTAGATATGATCCCCGCCCATGCGAGGGTGGTGCTGCTTCTCCTCCTCCCAGCGATGCAGTGTCCGCCCAGACGTCCGACGATGTGACTCTGCAAAGGGGCCCCAGCACACACAAATAAGTACACACAAATCCCAGGATTCCCTATATGTTTCGATATGTTTTATTTTCGTCTTCCCCCCCACTTCCCATGTTTGTCCCATATTTTCAGAGGAATCGACGATTAATTGTGTTTGTGTGCTTTCTCCCCTCCTTGTGTGCTTTCTCCCCTCCTGGTCCGCGGCCCCGAAGCTCCAGAACCCCTCCAGGAGGCCAGCTGTCCTTCCCAGATCCATTCTTGAAAGACGGCCCCCAGAGGATGAAACGGAGGAAGCGCGCCAGCGCTGAATGAAAGCAACCCGCCCGAAGTTCCGGCAAGACCGTGGCCCCGCGCACGCCTTGGGACGACGCCACCTCTGCGGGCGTCGCCAAGACAGCTGGGGTGGTCTCGTGGGGCAGCGTCGGCGTCGACTCGCCTCGGGGCGCGTTGCTCTGGCGACGATGGTGACGAAGGACGACAACGACCAATAACGACGACGACGACAACCGACGGCGACGACGAGAAAGAACGACGACGCCGACGCCGTCGCTCGTCGCTCGTCGTGCTCGTCGTCGTCGTTATGCTCGTGGTCGTCGTCGTCGTCGTGCGCGTCGTCGTCGTCGTCGTCGTCGCCGTCGTCGTCGTCGGGGGGGCCTCTGGAGGCCTTCGGGGGCTCTCGGAGACCTTCGCCGGCTCCCGGAGGCCTGATGGGGACTCCCGGAGGTATTCGAGGAAGAACTTCAGATTGTTGAGGTTCTGAAATTTCTTGCTCAAGCAATTTTAAAAAGTGTCATCGTTTATCTCTGCATGGTGGACATTTTGACAACTGGGGGAATTGCTCCAGAGGTTCCCGCGGAGGAGGGGAGGGAGTGCGCCCTGAGAAAAAACGCATGGAGCAGACGGGAGGTCAGATCATAGCACCAAGCCGCAAATGGCCTGCCTGCCGAAGCGATCCGAAGCCTCTCCTCGCCTCTCTCCTCCTCTCCCCACCCCTGGCCTCCTGCTCCCCTCCGACTGATGCCCCCCCCTTCTCCTCCCCCCTTCCTCTAGATACAGCGCGCGCAGCGGACACGAGACCAGTGGACCGAGATCCCAGACGTGAGGACAAACTCCTCGCAGCCTGAATAGCCCCCCCAGCTAGGACGACGAGAGCAGGCACGGGAACACCAGAGTCAAGCGTGCCCGCGGGGCAGAGACAGGATTTTCCCGACTTGTAAAAAGCGCAGGGAAGTGGTGAACGAAGATGGGGGACGTACGACGGTCACTATACCTCTCTCTTTCTCCCTCTGTCTGTCTGTCTCTGTCGGTGGGTCGGTCTATATGTCTCTGTATCTCGCTCTCTCTCTCTCTCTCTCTCTGTCTCTTTGCTCTGTACGCCTATCGCTCAAGTCATATCCTCAAGCGAAGCTTGGGCCAACATCGCTCTCCCGTTTCTTCTTCCGACTTGTCCTTCTCGATCCTTTCCCCTCGTTTCATCATCCTTTACTCCGCTTTCTCCTCGTGATCCTCCTGGCCTCCTTCCTTCTTGTCGTGTTCCTCTGTGTTCCTCGTGCTCCTGATGCTCAAGCGTTGCCTCCCGTTCCTGCTTCGCCTCCTCCTTGTCCTCCTCGTGCTCCTCCCCCTCCTCCTAATCCTCCAGCTTCTCATCCTCATCCACAATTTTACTCTTCCCTCATCTCCTTCCTCACTCCTCAAATTCAAATAACATTTGGTTCAGACCAATTTGGCTCAGCAACGCCGTGCAATCCGCACCGGGTTGGGTAAGATACGCGGGCAGTATCTTTGACCCACCCTCGGACTTGAAGGGGGATCGCCAGGTGTCGCGCCACTGAAAGTTGTACGGTTTGTTTTACCTCCAAGCTACAGACTAGGAGGTCGACCACTGAGTCACTAAAACCGATTGTATGTCTCAGGAGCAGGTGAGCATCACAGTGGGCGTGCAGCGGCAAAGTGTGAAGAGTGAGCCGTTTTTGGCCAGGCATGCCCCACTATTTCAGGCTGTGGTTTTTGTTGTATGTGTGTTTTGCAACTGTTAGCGTACATTGGGTTGTTTTACACGGCGTTCGGCATTCTGTTTCGAAGGCTGCTTCGGAAAACACGCTACCGACCTTTGAGTACATGCTGGGCGATCAGAGTACATCTGTCAAGCACGTGGTGGTTGCAGCATGGTGGGAAGAGAGAGCCTTTTTGGCCAGGCATGCCCCACGTGCATTTGTTTTTTCCCGCAGTGGCGATCTTATTGGGAAGGAGATGGGGTGAGCTGCTGCGGGGCGCTTTTCTCTGCGTTGGTGGACTCGTTGCATGGCGTCGCGTCCTACTTCGCAGTGCTTAGTGTTGAGCGCTACAATTCACGCGACAAGAGTACATGGCCTGACGCTTTGGCGATAGGTCGTGCGCAAGGCTTCAGGATCCCTGTGGTGTCAGAGTGCCGTTTGTGGGTTGGAAGCCTCGTTCTGCGATTGTTAGCTAGCCGTGCGGGAGAATGGACGCGCGAGCGCCGACAGGGTAAACATCATATTGAACGTTACCAGCGAGCGCATCCATAGGCCTCACTTATCTGTTGTCTTGTGCGGCGCGCTTGGGCAACCTCCAAGAGCCACTGCCTCCTTGTCTTTCACGTCCAGGTGCTGTGGGAGCTCAGCAAGATGCATGAGATATAGCTGCGACGAGGCCATGGCTGAGTTCGCGGCTCGGGGCTTCGGCCCGCAGATATATTCTGCCCTGGAGTGGCAGGTGAGCGTTTTCTAATTCGGCGTTTCGACAGTTGGCGGAAGTAGGTGGGAGGGGGGGGGTCTGGCTCCGGACCTCTGCTTTGTGCGGCTGTCTGCAACAGCGCGTCCTGTGGTGGAGACTCCACCTGCTCGAGACAGGCGCCAAAAACGGCCAAGATCTTCTCCACGGGGGGGGGGAGGGGGGGGGGGTCCGACGGCCCGCGCCGATCGGCAAAACAGTGAGGAAGAGAACGATCACCGGGGAGGTGGGGGCCCGCTCCGTCTCCGGGGCGGCCTCGCGACCCCACGAGCCCGTGCAGGAGCGAAGGGCGCGGGAGCGAGGCGGCCGAGGCGCCTGCGCTGCCCTCGGCTCTTGAGTCCTGGAGTCCTCTCTCTCTCTCTCTGCCTCTCTCTCTCGCTCCTCACTCTCCTCCTCTCTCTCCCCACTCTCTCTCTCTCTCTCTTTCTCTCTCTCTCTCTCTCTCTCTCTCTCTCATCTCTCTCTTCACTCTCCTCTCTCTCTGTCTCTCTCTCTCTCTCTCTCTCCTCCTCTCTCTCCTCACTCCTCAGGAGGGTGCACCCATTGTGGAACGTAGACGGCAGGCAAATGGTGCGCGCGCGAATCAGACGACCCTACTTGCCACGGGTGAGAGACGACGTGCGGGGTGCTTTTCGCGGAAGGATCATGTACACCACCGCCATGCCTGGCCAGGACCATCCTGGGCCCTGGCATGGTGTCTGCTGTATGCCCTCCTGGCCGAGGCCCAGAGGGGTCGATGCAGCCTGCCCACACGCATGACAGTCCTTCTCATAGTCGCCCTGCTCCTGCTCCGTCTCGTCCTCCTCCGCTTTGGGGTGCGGTTACGAGTTCCAGCTTGGCGCAGGGACGGCGCCTGGAAAGGCACCCCAGCCGCCGTCCAGCTTGGCGCAGGGACGGCGCCTGGAAAGGCACCCCAGCCGCCGCACGCCTGGAGAAGGTGGCCTTCCTGCCGCGGGACGCTTGGACAGACAGGTGTCCCTCCTTCCTCTGCTGCTTCCTTCCCTTCTCTCCTGTATTAGCGATCCGTGGATCTGGTGCGTGGGCGCCAGATCCATGGCTCGGGGAAGGCCCCGACACATGAGGCCAGTGCCGCCTCATTTGGCGACAACGCGCGCCGATTTCGCATGGAATCGGGACCCTTCTCCTCCACCTTCTCTTTCCCCTCACCCCTCTCTGGGGCCGCGCTGGAAGCTGCGAGTTTCCGGCGGGCTCCCGCGCAAGCCGGGCCCGCCCAGCCCGCCCGACCGCTCGCGCGTCGTGTCCCACCCCCTGGGGCAGTAGGCCGCACGAGGGTGGAGGGGGACTCGCCCAGCGCTGGGGCAGGCCCCGAAGCGAACGCAGCGCCCGCCGTGCCTGCCAGCCGCCCACCCGTCACCCATCCCTGCACGTGAAGAGGCGCCCATACGATGGTGGACCGAAGCACCCTCCGTCTCGCTTTGTTTTTTTGTCCGGCGCGCGCTGGCCGGGCGTGGCGCGGCCGGGAGCCGCGCCCGTAGCGCCGAGGCGCCGTGCCCAGGACAGGCCACCTGCACCGAATTAGGGGGGGGAGGGGAGGGCCCCCACGACCCCGTCTCGCCCCCCATCCCCCAAGGAGGAAGCCCCTGCCTCGCTCCCCAACCGCCCCCTCCGCCATCCCTGCACGTGAGGAGGCACCCATTCTGTGGTGCACGGCGCTCACCCGGGGCGCTGGCCAGGGGCGGGCGGCGGGAAGCCGGGAGGCACGGGCGCGCGCGCATAGGCGCCTCCGCCGGGGGCCGCAGGCCCCCCGATGCCCGGCCGCGTTGGCCCAGGCGTGGGCCCCTCGTGGTGGTGGCGTGCGCGACGGGGCCGCCACGGCATCGAGGGGCATTCCACCACACGGGTAGTCCAGTGATCAATCCTTCCTCCTCCTCCTCCTCCTCCTCCTCCTCCTCCTCCTCCTCCTCCTCCGTTTTTGTCCTCCTTTTCTTTCTCCTCTCCTCCTCCTCCTCCTCCTCCTCCTCCTCCTCCTTTTCCGCCTCCTCCTCCTCCTCCTCCTCCTCCTCCTCCTTTTCCTCCTCCTCCTCTTCCTCCTCCCTCCAGCTTCCTCCTCCTTCTCCCTCCTTGTCCTCCTCCTCCTCCTTGTCCTCCGCCTCCTCTTCCTCCTCGTCCCCTTCTCCTCTTTCCTTTTTCCTTCCTCCTCCTCCACCTCCTTCTCCACGTTCTCCTCTTCCTCCTCCTTCTTCCTCCAGTTTCCGCGGGCACCCCGCCCGCTCCTGCCAAGTGCGAAAGACCAGTCCATCGACTCCTCGAGATTGAGGCATTTCGTGATGCCCGCAGTTTCTCCCCTGTGGAGGCCTCTGTATGAACAGGGCCACAGCAAAGTGGGTCCGAAGATCGCACCAGCATCGCCGAAACATCGGCGACGCAATACAAGGAATCTCGCCGATGCTGGGGTGAAAGCAATCGGGTTCCACATCGCCCCGCATAGAGGATGTGTCGGCCCATCTACTCGGGCCCCGTTTGGGAGGCTTGGACCTGCTATGACCGACAAGGGTTATGGAGGAGACGGGCGTTCGACTCAGGAAAACGACCACTTCATCCTGAGCCTCCCTTCCTCCAGGATGGGAAGGGCTCAGTGTATACACCACGTCTTTGTTTGTCGGCCAAGGAGCTCGGTACTTATATAAACGCCCTAGCTGTCCAACGTGGGACGCCGGGGCGTCTATACAACGACTTCACTCGGCGAGTTCTGTGGTTCCCTGGCCGACCATACGACGCGGTGTATACGTCGAGCCCGTCCGACGAGACCCGTCATTTTCATGGCGAGCCGCTTCAAGGGAGTCACAAAACGATCTCTGGAACCCTGAGATGCGTCTCGACCACAATTCCGATGCGGACACGGCTGTGCCGACGAGAAGCCCCCCCCCTCTGAGGGCTAAGAGCGGAACGCGCTCCCCAGAAACAGGGTCGGCTTTCCCCTGCGGGGGGATCCTCTCGTGCAGCAAGAAGGTTGGCCCCACTGGCGGACGCAGCCCGACCGACGCCTTCCGTGCCGAGCACCTGCTGTGACGACCCCCTGGCCCCACGCGCACGCGCGCCGGCGGCCGCGCGGTGGCCAAGCCCTTTCAGGATGGGGGGGGGGGGGCGGGCGAGGGGAGGGCCAGCCACACGCAATCATGATACTCCAAAGACCTCCGAGGACAGGGGGGGAATATCGTTGGGGGGGACTGAAAGGATGTCGTAAGCGTGAACGAAGACAGCGCACCTTGCCAGAAACGTTGCGCACGGCGCACCTTGTCTGTAGCGTTGCAGGCGTGGTAACGTCATGGGCTTTAGGTGATGATGTACCAAAAATGTATGTAGCAGGATATACCGAACACGTTGTACCTTGCCCGTAAAACAATAATTTGCGTACCTTGTTGGTGGCGCTGCAAACTGAGCATACAGTCTCTAGTGCAGTAGACGAAACGCTTCATAAGCAGACCGGCCACCATCAGAACTACAGATTTTCCATGGTGTGATTTGTCCATGGCCCTGAGAAGTACTCCTTTCCATTGTGTGGATGCATGGCATCTGTAGCGATGTACCGATGTTCAGATATAGTACTCGGTTTCTGATAGGCTGTGCTTACCGCAACTATTGCGCCAACATGCGGATGAAGTAGCGGGGGACGTTGTCCTCCGTGCCGTCGGCCCAGCGGACTTTGATGAGTGTCTGGACGTTGGATTCCAGTACCGTGCACTCATAATGCTCTCTACCGCACTTTCCCTCAACCGTGTCTCCGATTGCGATCGGCTTTTGGGTCGTCAAAATCGTAAGTGGGCTTTGGTGCTCGTCTCATGGACCTTGTAGTACAGCGGCTGGCCCTGGTAGCTCAGCTGGTGGTCCAAGTTGCCCTGGATGTGGCTCCTGTAGCTGAGTGCTTGGGGGGTAGATCTGCTGCTGGCTCTCGTAGTATACCAGGCGGGCTTGGTAGCAGGTCTGGTGGGTCTCGCGGATCTGCTTGGGGCCCTCGTAGCGCAGCTTGCTGCTCAGCTTGCTGTACGTTAGATCGAACTCGTTGTCATGGTAGCTCTGCAGGAGGCTATCCTAGCTCTGGCTGCGGTCCGCCTAGGTCGAACTGGGGCCCTCGTAGCTGTGCAGCTGGAATGTGTAGCTGTGGTGGGGGTTCTCAAGGTTCTTGAAGTTCAGCTCTTCGAGCCTCTGCTGATGGCTCTCGCAGTTCAGCTGGTGGCCCTCGTGGTACGGCTGGTGGACCTCGTAGTCCTACGTGTGGCGTTCGGACTTGGGATAGTGGTCCTCGTAATTCGGGAAGTGGCTCTCGTAGCTGTGCCTGTGGCCCCCGTGGTTCAAGTTGCATTACTCCAAGGACTGCGAGTATTCCTGCTAGCGCTGGTGGTGGGTGTAGTATGTCCGACTGTCGCTCAAGCCAATGTAGCTGAGCCGGTGGCCCTGGTAGCTGCTCTGGTGGCCCTCGAAACTCTGCTGGGGACCCTCGTAGCTCAGCGGATTGCGCTAGTAGCTCCGCCGCTAGTTCTCTTAACTCTGCTAGTGGCCCTCGTAGCTGAGTTCGTGCTCTCGCAGCTGGGTTGAAAGCTGCCGTCGTAATTCAGCAGCGTGGCTCTCGAAGCTCTGCTGGTGGCCCGCGTACCCCTGCGGCTGGTTATGGTAGCTCTGTTGGTGCCTCTCGTAACTCTGCTGGTTGTTCTAGATTTCTAGGTGTTCCCATGATAGTCGGCCTACGTCTGCGTGTTGACCTCCACGGACCAGAGCTGGTAACTTCGGTCGCTGGGCTGGTGGTCTTCGTAGCCTTGCATGTAGCTCCCGCATCTGAGCTGGTGACCCTCGAGGGTCAGCTGGTGGGCTTTCGTAGCTCAACTCGCGGCCCTCGTAGCTCAGCTTGTGGCTCTCGTGGCTCTGCAGGTGAGTCTTGAAGCCTCTCTGGTGGCTCTCGAAGCTGTGCCTGTAGCTCTCGTGGCTCAGCTCGTGGTCCCCGAGGGTCTCTGGTGGCCCTCCCTTCGGGCTGCTCGGTCGTATCGTTGCTGGCGTCGGTCTTGGTGGCGTACTTGGTGACGTAACGGTGAAGGCACTTGTCCTCGGGCTGCCTGTTACGGAGCTCCTTATTGTACTTGGGTTGCCTGTCCCGCAGCTCGCACTCGTACTTGGGCTGCCTGTTGCGCAGCTCGTGCTTGGACGCTCACGCGAGGGCGATCGCATCAATGATAATACGGTTCTCGGGTCGAGGCTATGGCCTATGCCGGACGTTGTGCCCCACTCGTTTTTGGGTCGCACCTGTGCGCGCCCGTGCTCCTCAATGCGTGTAGACGTTGCGTCTCCCCAAACGTGGTTCGGCATCGTGGCTTCGTAGTTCAACCGCTGGTGGCCGATGTTGTGGTCGCGGTTACGTTCCCTCTCGCGGATGCTGACCCACCAGTGGATGATGCTGCACAGTCGGGGCATTGACCTAAGGAACCCTAAAAAAGGAACGAGGCCCCTATTTTCCATAAGTTCGACTTCGATTTCGTATCGAAAACCTAAGGAAAACCTAAGGCAAGCTGCGAAACGATTAAGGAACACGGAGCCCCTCCCCAACGAAAAGGTTTCCTTCTTCAGGGCCCCGACTGTACGTTCCTTCTCGCGGATGCTGACCCACCAGGTGGATGATATTGGAGTCAGAACTGAGCACCCACAGGCGGATGAAGCTGTGCACCCGGAGCTTGTTGTACAGTCGGGGCGTTGACCTAAAGAACCCTAAATAAGGAACGGGGCCCCTATGTTCCATAAGTTCGACTTCGATTTCCGATGGAAAACCTTAGGAAAACAGAAGGCAAACTGTCGAACAATCAAGGACCACCGAGCCCCTCCCCAACGAAAAGGGTTCCTTCTCCAGGGCCCCGGCTGTAGACGTGGTGCGCGCGCAGCCGATCGCGACATGCGAGCTAAGAGCACGGCTCCCCCTCGGGATGCGGCGCGGCGGCGCGGGGGCCCGGGGCCAGGCGGCATTCCTGCCCCTCCTCCTCTTCCTCCTCCTCCCCCTCCTCCTTCTCCTCTTCCTCCTCCTCCTCCTTTGAACGCCTGTCCTCGTCCTCCCCCTCTTCCTCCTCCTCCTCCTCCACCTCCTCCTCCTCCTCCTCCTCCTCCTCCTCCTTGGAACGCCTGTCCTCGTCCTCCCCCTCTTCCTCGTCCTCCTCCTCCTCCTCCATACCTGTCCCCTACTAGCAATCTCCTTCCCGTCACGCCCCGAGACGTGTCGGCAGGGCGGGCCGAGGGCGTCGCCGGAGATTTCCGCACCACCTACGGACGGAGGGCGGGTGGTGCTCAACATGTGGCTCTCGCTTTAGCGCGGCACAAAGTCGTCTTCACGTCTACAGCAAGTTCGCGCATGGAGGGCGGGCCGCCTTCACAATGAGTCTCGCGCCGTAGCGCCGCGCACATTCGTCTACGCTGCAAGCGCTTCACGGATGGAGGGCGGGTGGCTTTCAAACTGTGGCTCCCGCTTCAGCGCCTCAGGGATTCGTGTCAAAAGAAGTTTGCTAGAAATTCACGGATGGAGGGCGGTACCGTTTCCAAAATGTGGCTCTCGCCTCATCGCCGCGCACATTCATATCAAGGCTTCACAACAGTTTCAGGGTTCTAAGGTTGACATCCCACAATCTGCGTTGCGGCACGATGTAGGACTGTCACGGGGCATCAGTCACGTAGATTCGCGGTGTTGAAGTCCCAAGAACGATGTTCTGGTACAGTTCAGGATCGTCGCGACGCAATCATATGATTGATTCGCGGCGCTGAAGTCCCAAGAATGGTGTCTTGGCACGGCGCAGGACTTTTCAAAAGTTGTCTCCCATCAGAGGGGCACTGTCCTCAGTGCAAATAAATCCCTTGTGGGGGGCTATGAAGAGGGAGCTGGGAGGGAGGGTTTATTTCAACATCGTTGATGGCTCTTGGGTTTGCACTGGTGCTTCTCCTCCTCCTGCTCCTCCCTCCTGCTCGACCAGTCTCCTCTTCCTCCTCCTCCTCCTCCTCCTCCTCCTCCTCCTCCTCCTCCTCCTCCTACTCTTCCTCCTCCTCCTCCTCCTCCTCCTCCTCCTCCTACTCCTCCTCAACCAATGTCCTGCATGCCGACTGGACGCACGCCGCCGCGCGACAGCCGCGAGCCTGGCTGCATCAGCGAGGCCAGCACCGGGTTCACCCTCGCCAGCAGCGGCTTCAGCCCATGGGAGGGCGTCGGCGCAGAAGCCGAGCCTCTGCGGGGACGCCCCCCCTGAGGGCCAGGTTCGTCCCCCTTGTCCTTCTCCCCGTCCTCCTCCCCCTCCTCCTCTTACTCCTCCTCTTCCTGCTCGACAGAGATCCTCCTCCCCTTCCGCCCCTTCCTCCTCTTCCTCTTCCTCCTGCTCCTCCTCTCCTCCTCATCCTTCTTCCTCCTCCTCTCCCCCTCCTCCTCCTCCTCCTCCTCCTCCTCCTCCTCCTCCTCCTCTTCCTCCCCCTCCTCCGCCTCATCATCATAATTATGATCCATCCCTTTTTCCTGGTGAGTTCATCCTCCGTGTCACAGTCCCGAACGTGTCGGTAGCTGGACCAGGCGGCTCGCCTCAGACTTCCTCACCATGTATTATTGCAACAGCCTCACGGGTGGATGGTAGGCGCTTTCCAAAAGGAAACTGTCGCCTCAACGCCGCGCGCTCTCGTCGCGGATTACGGTAGAACAAGCTTCAAGGACGGAGTGGTGGGCGTTTTCAGAATGTGATTCACGCCTCAGCGCCGCAAACATTCGTATTATTAAACGTTTGCAACTCCTCCAGAGATGGTAGGAGGCAGTTTTCGTCATGTGGATCCCGCCTTTGCGACGCACGCATTCGCCTGAACAGTTACACTAGCTTCAAGGATGTAGGGCAGAACATGTTCAATGTAAGGTGGTCGCCTCTACGCTGCGCAAAAATCGTCTCAACAGTTCGCAGTAGCTTCCCGGATGAAGAGGGTCCTTTTCAGAATGCGGCTCTCGCCTTAGCGCAGCGCACATTCGCATTAACAATTTGCACCTGCTTCCAAGACGGAGGGCGGTTCGTTTGCAAAATGTGGCTCTTGCCTCGGCGCAGCGCACATTCGTCCTAAAAGTTTGCAGGAGCTTCACGGATGGATGGGCTCGTTTTGCATATGTGGATCTCGCCATAGCGCCTCGCACCTTCTCCGTGCAAGTTTGCAACACCTTCAAAGATAGAGGGGGGCCTTTTTCAAAGCCCATTACCGCATCAGCGCCGCACACATTCGCCTCGAAAAATCTCAACATGTTCACTGACGGCAGGGCGGATCGTTCTGAAACCGGAGCTCTCGCTGGAGCGCCGCGCACTGTGTACCAATGTGTTGCAGAAACTTTGCGGATGGAGGGCGGTTCCTTTTCAGAATGGGGGTCCCGCTGTTGCGTCGCAAGCAGAGGAGGAGGGAGGAGGGAGGAGGGAGGAGGGAGGAGGGAGGAGGGAGGAGGAGGACCTCGCAACAACTTTCAGAATTGCTCACTGATCATTTTCAGCACGGGGCTCACGCCTTGGAGCCCGTGCGCGCTCGTTTTTGCACTGCAATGTGTAGCAGGATGGTGGACTGTTCTGTTTCGACATGGTCTCTCGCGCGAGACATCGGTACACGTCGGTCGGAAGAAGTAGGTAGAAGCATGAAGTAGGAAGGCGGATATAGTGGATTGGGTACAGGCCCTCCTAGAGAGTAACAAAACACAGCGAGAGCATGCCGATTCTTGAAGTAGGAAGGCGCTTGAAGTAGATTGGGATCTGGGAATCCAAACATACCTACTTTCAACGACAGGCAGGTAATGGTAAGACCCGACATGTCAACACGTGTAGCGCTGCACGGATCCACGGCGGCAGCGCCTCAAAAAACTGGCATGTCCCTTGAGATGTCCCCTCTCGTGGCCACGGATCTTCGTTGTGCAAGCGTTGCACGGATGGGGGGGGCGGTAATTCCTCGAGGGGAGGATCCTGCTGGACATCTCGTTGAAGCTCGTGTTCCTGATGTTTCGCCAGAAGCATGCACGCCACCTCCGTTTCAAAGCAGGGCCCTCGCCGCAATGGCAAGCACAAGTGTGCTTATCTTTCACGGTGGGGCGTTTCTTGCAGCGAGAAGGACAAATTGCAGGGGCGTGTGAGAAGGGGACTTGGGACGAGAGGGTGGATTACACCATTGCTGATGCATATTTGGCTTACCCTGATCTTCCTCCTCCTACTCCTCCTCCTCCTCCTCCTCAACCCCTCCCCCTCCTGCTCCTCCTCCTTCTCCTCCTCCTCCTCCTCCTCCTCCTCCCGTTCCTCCTCCTCCCGTTCCTCCTCATCCCGTTCCTCCTCCTGCTCCTCCTCCCCCTCCCTTTCCTTCTCCTCCCCTTTCCCCTCAGCCCTCGGATCTAGGCGCCATGAAAAGTTGGAAATTGAGGTAATCTTCCACGCCGTCGCCTTCATTTCAGACACCGGATCTCGGGTGGAGGGGGCTAGGAAGAGGAGGACGAGGGTGGAGGAGAAGGGGGCAGAAAACGTGGAGGAAGAGGGTGGAGGAGGTAGGACAGGGACGGCCAGGGTAGAGCATCCTGGAGGCATCAACGATGTTGCAATGCACCCTCCGGTCCCAGGTCCCCTCCCCACCAGTCCCTACAAGCCTGACATTCCGAATCAAGACGCGCCCCCTGAAAGACCAGCACCCCATATGGGCCTGCCACTCGTGCGGGAGGCCCTGTCTGAAAAAGAACTGCCGTGCCTCCCTCTGGCGAGCGGTGATGAACGCGCGGAGGTGCAGCTCAGCGAGGTGTCTGGCGACGTCTCCGTTTCGACAACGGCCGCCCCATCTGTGCTCTCTCCGGCACAAGCGTTCACTCCTCACCGCTGGGCGCAGAGGAAATCTCCACCGAGAGTCCCATGCTGCAGGCGATCGGGAGCCGGCCTCAGTGCAGTAGGAGCTCGACCACAAGAAGCCTCCCACAAAAAGCCCAACCCTGAGACCCCAGGACGTCCATTGGTTTCTGGTGTGGGAACCGCACGCGCTCCATCGCAAAACTATCGAAACCCAAGAAACCCAGGGCACCCTGGAGGCAAGCAGGGTGTTTATTGGCATAGGTTTCCACTGGCACTGTGTGCAGCTGCAGCATGTGCAAAACTCGGGCATCAAAAAAAATCAACGGACGCCCAACGTTTAATAGCCACCATCCTCCACCCGCGCAGCTGGTGGATCTGCTCACGCTTCGGACCTTTTGCGGTCAAGAGGTCTCGATCGAAAGCCCCACCTTGAAACGAACGCGTGGCGCTGATGCGAAAACTCGATGTTGAAAGCGACGCGCCCTCCATGCTTGAACCAACTTGTAAGTTTGAACAAGACTGCGCGCGACGCTGAGGCGAGGGCTCCGCCTGGAAGAGGAGCCATCCTACACTTTTGAACTGTTTACATCTGTCGAAGGCGGATGCGCGCGGTGAAACGGATTTCGGGTGGCCCGCCCAACTTGTCTAGCGTGGGCAATACAAAACTCTCCACGCCCGCGCGTGTCCGCTTGGAGAGATGTGCATACAAAACCTCTCCACGTGCGTACGCGCGCGCACGTGAAAAAAGGTTGTGCATTGCCCACGCTGGATCTGTCGGGCGGGTGACCCGACATCCGCTCGGCGAAAGGTCTCACTTTCGCTTCCAAGCCAGCATGGTGACCAGTTGTCGCGGACCATACAAAAATTCTTCACTTGGGCACGCGTGCGCGCGTGCAGAGAGTTCTGTGATGCTTATACAAGACAAGTTGGGCGGGACACCCCAAATCCGCTCGGCGGCAGGTACAGGCTCAGTACGGCTTCCAAGCAAACGAAGTGACTCCCGACTGTGGACTATCCTAAACTCTCTACGCGGGTACGCGCGCTCTGACAAATCTGTAGTGTCCATCCACACTAGCCAAATCAAGTGGATCAACCGAAATCCACCCAGCGACCGTTAAGGGTTCATCCTGGCTCCCGTGCCGACAACGCGACTTTCTTATGTGGCCAATCCAAAACTCTCCCTGCGGGTGCGCGCGCGTGGAACATTGTGCATGACCCACGCTGGGTCTGTCGGGCGGGTTACACGAAACCCCCTCGGCGGAAGGGCGAACGTTCGGTTCCAAGCCAACAGGTTTCCTATCTATCGTGGGCCATAAAAAAAGCCTCACCACGCGGGTACGCGCGCGCGAAAGATTGTGCATTGCCCGTGCTGGATCAGTCGGACGGGTTACACGAAATCCGCTCGGCGGCCGATAAGGGCTCAATGTTGCGCCCAAGCCAACGTGGTGACTACCTATCATGGACCATGCAAAAACTCTTCGCGCGGGCACGCAGGCGCGCGTGGAGGCTTAAGCACTGCCCGCGCTGGATCTGTCGGGCGGTTTACCCGAAATCCACTCGGCGGCAGGTGCGGTTCACTTTCGTTTCCATGCCAACACCGTGGTTTTCTATCAGGGACCAGAAACACTTCGCGCGGGTACGCGCGCGCGTAGAAAAATATGCGTCGTTTCTTCTAGACAAGTCGGGCGGACCACCAAACAACTAGACAAGTCTACCGCAAGGGTTCGTTTTTGTTTCCAACTCAACACAGTGGCCTTCTGTTGTGGGCAGTAGCGAACTCTCCGCGCGGGCACGCGCGGGCGCGTGGAAGTGTTGCGTTGTCCGCACTAGACAAGTCGGGCGGGTCATCTGAAATTCACTCGGCCACTCACGCGGTGATCTCTGCGTTTCTCGAGCTAGACGAGCCGGGCGGGTCACCCAAAATCCGCTCGGTAACCGGCAAGGGATCCCCGTCGTTCCCATCCCAACAAGGCGACTTGACTACTGTCCGCATTGCAGAACTCTCCACCTGGGTACGCGCGCGACTGGGTGGGGGCTCTATACTGTCCCCAATATCCAAGTCGGGCAGGTCATCCGAGATCCGCTCGGCCACCGCTCAGGGGTCGCAGGAGTCTCCAGGCCAACAGGGCGACTTTTATATTGTGGACGATGCAGAGCCCTCCGCGCGGGCGCGCGTGGGCAAGCGGAAAGGCCCGCAATGTCCACGCTCGACAGGTCGGGTGGGTCACCCGAAAGCAGCGCGGTCACCGCCAAAGTATCGCTTTCGCGCCCAGGCAGTCAGGGCGATTGCGGGCGCGCGCGGGGGGGAATTCTGCATTGCCCACGCTGGCCGCTGGACCAGTCGCACGGGTCACCCGACGTGCGCTCGACCACTTCGGTTCCAACTCTACTGGGGCGACAGACCTTTTGTGGCCAACGCAGACCTCCCCGCGCGGCTGCGAGCGCGCGGGGATTCTGTTTTCACCACGCCAGACATGTCGGGCGGGCCACTCGAAGCCAACCCGTTCATCATGACGGGTTAATCGCCGCGACAACAGGTTGACGCTTCTTATGCGAACAGCGCAGGACTCTCCATACGCATGGCATGCACTGGACCAATCGGGCAGTTCGCCCGACATCCGCTCGGCAACCGTGATGGATGTGCATCAGTATCTTGGCTTGCAAGATTGTTGCTCGGTTGTGAACGACGCGCAACTCTCCGCGCGGGTAGGCGCGAGCGCAGGATTCGGCATTGTGCGCGCTTGACAAGGCGGGTGGACGGGTCGGCAAGGCGACTCTGCCATGGCTGACAATGCAGAACGCTCCACGCGGGCGCGCGCGCCGGAAATCCTGCGTCCTCCGCAATGGACATGTCGGGCGGGTCATCCAAAAGTTGCTCGGACACCGTTGAGCGCTCCTTTTAGTTCCCAGGCTGGCAGGGCGACTTGTCTGTTTCCTACTGTGGGCAACGCAGGATACAAAGCTCTCCGCGCTGGACATCTCCGCGCTGGACAGCGCGGGCGGGCCGCCGCTTCAGGCGCAAATCAATTCCCAGGCCAGCGGGGCTTGCATAACTACAAAAGGAGCAGAATTCTCCGCGCGGGCGCGCGCGCGAGCCTGGGGGGCTCTGTCCTGCCTGCGCTTGACAGACCGGGCGGGTCGCAAAGCACCCGCTCGGTCGCCGCGATAGGTTCGTTTCAGTTCTCAAACCAACGCGTCGACCTGTCAACGCAAGGCGATGGAGAACGCCGAGCGGGCACGAGCGCGCGCGCGCGGATTCCGCGCGGGTGGGTGGGTGGGTCACCCGACGTGGGTCGCCCGACGTCCGGTCGGTCCAACTGATTGGTTCGCTGCGTGGCCCGAGCTAACAGGGCGACCATTCAAATAAATTATATACAGAACCCCGACACGGGCGCGCGCGCGCGGGGAGTCCTACATCGCTCGCGCTAGACGCGCCAGACGAGCCGCCCGACAACCGCCCGCTCACTTTGTCAAGTTCGCTTCATTTTCTGCGCCGACGGACCGACGCCGTTCGCGTTTCCATTGCAGAGCATTGCACGCGGGCGCGCACGCGCGTGGAGAGTGATGGGTTTTCCACGCTGGACAGGTCGGGAGGGTCACCCGACATCCTCTCGGACACCACTGAGGGCTCGCGCAAGTTTGCTGGCCAGCACGGCGTTGTCTCCACCGTGGACGATGCGCTCTTCGCGCGGGCAAGCGCGCGGGCGCGAAGGCTCCTGCGTTGCCCGCGCTAAACAGAAATCTCCCTCCAGCTCCCAAGCCGACCGGACTTCTTTTTAGCGGAGAACATCGCAGCACTCCCTGTGCGGGAAGGCGCTCGCGCTCGTGGAACGTTCGGCATGGCCCACGCCGGGCAATTCGGGCTGGTCACCAGAAATCTGCTCGGCCACGCCTGAGAATTCACCCTAGCTTCCAAGCCATCAGAATGACTTCCTAGCGGGGACAACATAAACGCTTCCGCGCGGGAATGCGCGCAAATTCGCCGGAAAAACTGCATACCGCGAACTAGACATGTCGGGCGATTCACCTGAGATCCGCTTGGTCACCGTAAAAAGCACGCGACAGCCTCCAGGCGAACAGAACAATTTGATGTGGACACTGCAGAACTCTCTGCGCCGACACGCGCGCACGCGTTGAAAGTTCTGTTCTGTCCACACTGGACACATTAGGCAGATCACCCGACATCCGCTGGGTCACCGCTAACGGTTCGCTTCGGCTCCCCGGCCAACATGGCAATCCAGAACAACTCTCCACGCAAGCACGCGCGCGAAGGGAGCTTTAGATTGTCCATATTCGACAAGTCGAGGGGTCACCCGAAATCCGTTTGGCCACCGTCACGGATCATTATAATCTCGCAGCCGGCAGGGCGACTTGTCTAAACTCTACAAGCGGGCCAGCGCGCGCGCTCTCAGAACTCGATATTGCCCATACTAGACAAGTCGAGCGGGTCGTTCGACATCCGCTCGGTCACCGCCGCAGGCGCGGCCTAGCTTGCAGGCCACCAGGGCGACTCTTCAGTTGTGGACAACACAAACAAACCGCACGTTCTGGTCCCTCTTGCGTGCAAAAATGCTGCTCGGGAAAGCGGAAGCCGCCGCGCGGGCGGCGGCTTTGGGGGAGACCCCACGTGGAAGCGATCGGCGCGAGGGGCGCGAGCGAGCGACGCCGCGCGCGGCGGCGGCTCTGCCCCGTCTGTGGCGCGCGGGAGAGGCCCGCGCCGCTCCGCGCGGCGGCAGCCCTGCCCGCCCCGAACACAAAAAAACACAGCGCGGGTGAGGCAGTAGTCGCCACGCGCGCGGCGGCTCTGTAGGGAGCCCACGAAGGACGTACGCGCCCAGCTATGTACATGAACACGGCCCCTCGATTCGCGAGACCGGCCGCGTTATACGAACATGTGTGCAGCGCGCGCTCTCGAAACCAGCGTGGATTCATGTACATGTGCGTCCTTCTTTCGCCCCTGAGCTCTAGCCAATCCAGCGCCAGGGGGAGGCGCGGGGACGGGGGGGGGGGAAACGTGCGATGCGACTGAGGCGCGGGAGCCACTGCGCGCGCGGTTTTTTTGGGGCCAGTCCCACCCCGGAGACGCAAGGCAAGAGAGGCACGGGCCGAGGCCCATCCCGAGCGGAGCCCGTGCCATGCGGGAGAGGCGCGGGGGGCACCGCGCAAGCGTCGCCCCCGCGGCCCCTCCCGCGCGAGGAAGCAGAGCGACGGGAGAGGCGAGAGTGAAACGACGCGAAGATCGCGACAAAATCGGATCGGGATAACTCGAAATCTCTGAGAATCGGCGGGTTTGGAGGATGTGTTGGGCGCCGCGGCCGCTCTCAGAGCGTTCCCGAACGCTCTGAGAGCGCTCCGGAACGCTCTGGAGCGATTTATCCCGATCCTAGCCCTGTTTTAGAGAGGGGGGCGGGTGGAAAAGGCACGCTGCGCTTCTGCCGTCCGGTTCCCTATCATGAATTGGCCCGGCTTCCCATGCGCGCTGCGGCCCTGGCCCATTCGAAGTGGAGAAACGCACCGCTCGCGAAGGGCAGGAGGAGGAGGAGGAGGAGGAGAAGGAGGAGGAGGAGGAGGAGGAGGAGGCGCCGCGCGGGCGGCGGCCCTGGCCCGCGCCGCGCGCCGGCTCGCGCGGCAGCCGTGGCCCAGTCTGCGCGGAGGGGCACGGCGCGCGAAAAGGGCTGGGGCCGCTGCGCGCGCGGCGGCCCTGGCCCATTTGCGCATGGAACACAGACGCGCGGACGCAGAGGCCAGACGAGCGACGCGCGACCCAGCATCGAAGAAACCGCAGGCGCGGGGCGCGCGCGCGGCAGCGCCGGGCCCATCTGGCACCGGAGACCCCCGATGGCGACGACTGGACGCTACCACGCCCACGCTCGCACAGCGGCGCAAGCACGCAAGCGCAGTGTCTCATTAAGACGACAAATCCTCACTCGTCGAATGAGACAGCCTATCTATCGGCACGCATGGAGTGAGACCAGCCTGCCAGCACACGCGAGCGCATGTGTACTTATGTGTGTATGTATAATCACATAGATGTACGCTTATATGGTGTACACATGAAACAAATGAATATGCATCTACGTATGCATATGGATCGCATCGTTCCCTGTCCGACCAATTCAAGGGGAACAAGCAAAGCAACAGCTTTTCGGCGGCGACTTGATGACACTCGGGCTCCAGGGGGGGGGCGAAGGAGGGGTCACCAATTTTTGAACACGGCCTCGACATCACAATTAAGAGTCACCACAAGGGTGCACGCGGCAAGGATGCAAGTCCCTTGGACGCTCGAGTTAAAAAACCCGTGAGCGGCGCGCGGCCAGGAGCCAGACCTGACAAGCCTCAGCATGGGCCCAAAAAGGCAAAGACGTGTGGGGCACCCCGTGGGACGCTGCTCGCCCTCACCATGAGCTCTGCCTGGAAGCCACCACACCGCAGGCCGCGGGTCAGCCGCACGGCGTCGGAGCCCCGGGGCCCGCCCGGCTGCGCGGCGCAGGCAGCCCCGCCGCGCCCCGCCCTCCCCGCCGCCCCGGGGCGGGCCTGCCGGTGTCCCGGCCGCGGAGGTGGGCGTGCCACCGCTGCGACCTGGTCTGGTGGTGGTGGCAGTGGTGATGGCGACGTCGACGGCGGCGACGACGATGGCACGGAAGAGAAAGATGACGTCCTCGTCGCTGCGTGCGTGCGCGGGCATCCTGCCGACTGCGCGCGCCACCTACACGCCCCTGACCGCGTGTGGAAATACGACGCTTCTCCAGCCGCTCTGGGGCCACCGAGCGCACGAAAGAACAACTGCGTGGGCACCCAGGGTCAACTCTCCACTCCATCCAGCAGGACGCGGTAGCAGACGGCGAGATGCAAAGCTTCGGGGCGAGAGGCGGCGACAGTGGGAACACGAGGCGGGCAGCCGCAGAGAAAAAGAGGGCCGCTGCATAAGGAAGTGTGGCAGAGTGCAGCAGACCAAGAGAACGACGCAGTGACTGAGGACAGTGGAAGCACCTTCTTCCTCTATAGGCTCGACAGGCTGGATGGCAGGCCACCGTGCCTCTAAAGGACACTGTAAAAGTACAAGAAAACGCCTGCTGCACTTGAAGAAAAGGGAGGTCCTTCTCCCACTCCCTATCGGCACCGAGGTGAGGCGATGTCAAACATAGGGATAGGGATATGTTTCAAACTGGTATAGGGGGCAAGCAAACCTACCTCGCTGTTGACCACCCTCGCTTCCAAGAGATACCAAGCGATGCCAAACTACGGCCTGTACTGATCAGCCGCTTGACGAGGAGGCGCGTGGTATGACTTGGTTTTGCCTGGAAGCGAAAGCGGGGTAGGTACAATCGGAACTAGGCCAGAAGAACATCCCTCAAGAACACGAGACCCTCCGTCGGCCAAAACGCACAGAACATCCACGGGTACCCTCCTCAGGGTGCACAAGAACATCCAACCAACACGAAGAACATGAAGGTACCCTCCTCGAACCGACCTCGATCTTATACCTCCGTCCGACCGTAATTCACGCTCTGATGGTAACCTCCCCGAGCCTCGAAGAACGTCGGGGCACGTCCCCGGTCCTCGATCCTCGGGAGGAGAGGCCCACCCCGAAGACGCGCCCCCGGGGGCGAGGCGGGGCCGGCACCGACCCCCGGGAGCGAGAGCCGCGCGCGGCCGCCCGCAAGCGCGCGCGTGCCTGCCATTCGTCGCTGCTCCTCTGCTGCCAGGGCAGGTTTTAATACGTTGGATGTTTTAATATACAGGATTTTTCGTACATGATCAATTTGTGGATAGGCTTATGCATGAACTCCTCGTTGCTTTGGATACTAAATGCCTGCATTCGTAATACGTGATCCGCACGCGGAGCATGTATTGAAAACAGCACTGTATGGTGTGTTCGCGCCGAGTTGACACCGCGGCGACCCCAGCGCGGGGGTTCAGGGCCGAACGCCGCCAGTGGCCCAGAACCGGCCGATGTCGAACGATCTGCGCTACAACAGGCACACTGGGAAACCAGCCTGTCAGCACATGCCCGCGTGACCAAAAGCCGGAGCTCAGGGAACGCAAAGGCGGAATCGAAAAGGCGGAATCATCGTCCTCCTTCTCCCCCTCCTGCTTCTCCTCATCCTCATCCTCATCCTCATCACCATCATCACCACCACCACCATCATCATAGAAGGCCGCACTAGCCAAGAAATCTCCAATAAGGCTCCAAGAAAGCTCAATTAGCCCCAAGTGGACATCAAGGCGGCCCAAGATGGCCGCAACGGATCGAGAGAGGCCACCAACCGAGAGAGCCCACGATGCCCCCAAGAAGAAAACCCAACGACGTCGCCTCGAAAGTCTCTGCCCGAGGAGCCTTCTCAGGGGGTTGGCGGAATGGCGTAAGCCTCTTGCATGAGAAACAAGCCTGTCAACAGGTGCGCCATAGAATGTCCTACTCCTCGATGCTATTGGGGGGTCGTGGGGCGCCCAGCGAAGTCAAGCATCGATGAAGAAGGTGCCCGAAGACTTCTTACAGACTTACAGAACGATTCCTTGTCGCACGTGCCTGCTGCACCTTTCCCTTCGAACGTAGGCTCCCCTCGTAAGCTCGTGGGCCCCCCTCCCCCCACCCGGCGCGGCGCCTGGTCTGGCGCTCGGGCTGGGCTCCTCGGCCACCGACCGCGGCCCCCGCGACCCCTCCTCGGCGAGGCTGCCGTCCGGGGCCTCGTCTCGGAGGGGCGGCCGGCAGGGAGGAGCGGAACGGAACGGAACGGCCGGAGGCGTCGGCGGCGCGGGGGCGACCAAGAAAGAGCAACGCCCCCCCCGCCACCACAGGATCTCGACCTCGCGGCCACAGGGGAAGCCTCAAGGCCGCCAGGCAAGAAGCAGGAGCGGCACACGGGCCGACCTGCAACAGGCAAAGGCACGTAATGAACCGCGGCCTGAGTTGGCACGAAGGAAACACACTTGTAAGCCAACGGCCGGCGCAGAGGATCCTCAGCATAGCTGCCCCGATACGCAACACGCAACACGTACCGTACCGATACGGAACTCAACACGTAGGCTGAAAACGTAGGTCCGACGCGATACATTCGCCAAAACGTGGTCCAATACGTGGAGCCAACACGCAACGTGACACGGACGTCTTGAACACGGGACGTGTTGCATTTCAAAACGCGCGCATCGAGGCAACTGAGATCCTCAGGCGCGAGCAGCAGCTGGAAGTGCCAAGCGCGATCGAACCCGCAGGAAACACATGCACAAGTCCTGAGGGGTGTGCTTCGCCTCCGGGCCCCTGCGCCCCCCACCCCCCTAGCCCTGTCCTTACAGCTGCTCTCCGTCTTCGGGCCACGGGCCGCTGCTCCATGGCGGGAGAGACGCCTCGGGAGGAGGAGGAAGAGGAGGAGGAGAAAGAGGAGGAGGAGGACGAAAAAGAGGAGGAGGAGGAGGAGGAGGAGGAGGAAAGGAGGAGGAGGAGGAGGAGGGGGAAGGGAGGAGGCGGAGGAGGAGGAGGAGGAGGAGGAGGAGGAGGAGGAGGAGAAGAAGGAGGACGGGAGGAGGAGGAGAAGGAGGAGGAGGAGGAGGACGAGGAGGAGGAGGTGGCCGCGGCGCCGCTCCCGAGCCGCGGAGAACGGGACCCCCTCCCGAAACTCGCCGAGCGAGGCCTGGCCGATGCCGCGCAGCGCCGCCGCCGCGCGTGGCGCGGAGAGCCGGCAGTGCCCGGTCGCGCTGCAGGGAGCCACACCGCCTTCGCGGAGCGGCCTCCCCCCCCCCTGGTCGCCATCTCGCCGGGGCGGCCATGCCCCGTGCAATGTGTTCGATGTCGTGCGTGGTGCCTCTCGCGAGCTGGTGCAGGATGCCCCTCGTCGGCCCTCGCCGAAGGAGAAGCTCGGCGGTGGACAGGCCTCCCTCCAGTGGACCTCCCCTCAATTGGTGAAGACGGCCTGGGACCGAAGCCGACGGACCTGGACCCGCAAAAACGACGGCCGCGACGCCCTCTCGCGAACCGAAAACGGCCGAGTCCTTAATCGACGTGTCAGGGTAGGAGGTCTCTCCACCCCCGAGAAGCGCACACGCCTGAGCGATGCCGGGCCCGACGGGTCGTGGAGCGAGATATCCCCGCAGAGACGCCGCGCTGCGCCACCCCGCGCGCGAAGCCCCATCGGGGCCCGCGCCTTCGGAGCCTGGTGGGGCCCGCGAGGCCCCGCCCCCGCCGAGAGCAGCGCGAGGACCCAGCCGATGCGACGCACGACGCGTCTCTCATTCGAACAGGGCCGCGGGGGGGGCAGAGCGAGAGAGAGAGAGAGAGAGCGAGAGAGAGAGAGAGGGGGGGAGGAACAAAAGAGACAGAGACAGAGACCGAGACACAAACGTTTTTTTGATTCGCAGGTCGAGAGCGCACCTCTTCCGGTCGAAGCTAAGCGGGCCGCGCGAGAACCGAGACACACAAACAGAGAGAGAGAGAGGAGAGACGGAGAGCGAGAGAGAGAGAGAGGGAAAGACCGCGCGCGGACGGGGTCCGTCCGGGCGCTGGCCTGCAGGCGGCCACGCGCGCCCAGCTCCGCTCGGGGTCGAGGGCCAAAACACGGAGGGAGAGCTCACAGTGCCCTTGGCGTGTGACCGACGCGGGGGGCGCACGACGGAAGCAGACCACGGCATCGCTGGCCGTGGTGCGGCGCAAAACTGTGCCTCGGGCCACGGGTGGCGAGACGCCGACACTGCCCGGGAGTGGGAGCACCCTGGGCGGGAGACCGGGGTGAGGTGTGGGCAGGAGGCCTCTTCCTCCTCCTCCTCCTCCTCCTCCTCCTCCTGCTCCTCCCTCCTCCTGCTCCCTCCTCCTCCTCCTCCTCCTCTCCTCCTCCTCCCTCCTCCTCCTCCTCCTCTCCTCTCCTCCTCCTCCTCCTCCTGTCCACCTCCTCCTCCTCCTCCTCCTCCTCCTCCTCCTCCTCCTCCTCCCTCCTCCTCCTGGTCCACCTCCTCCACCTCCTCCTCCTCATCCTCCCCCATTCCTTTCCCTTCATATATCTCCTCCCTCTTATATATATATATATATATATATACCTCCTTCCTGTCGCACCCCGAGGCCAGTCGAAAGGGCGGCCCGGGCGTTTCGCCTGAGACTTCCCCACCATTGATGACCCTGAAGCTTACATCTTGGCAACAGCTTCGCGTGTGATTTTCAAAATGTGGCTCTCGCCTTAGCGCCGCGCACGCTCGTCTTGCAATAATTTCACGCCTTAGCGCCGCGCACATTCATTTTAACAATATGCAAGGGTTTCACAGCGTACCAGAAACACTGTGTTGGAAGGACTCAGGATTGTGAGGGTGCAACACTTACGTTGGTTCGCGGTGTTGAAATCCCACGAATGGCGTTCTGGAACGATTCAGGATCGCCAAGACGCAACAGTCAGATTGATCCGTGACGACGGAGTCCTGAGAATGGTGTTTGGGCATGCTTCAGAGTCTTCAAGCGGTTGTCTCCAAACGAGGCGATGACTTCCCTCAGTGGAAATAGGGGCCTATGAGAAGGAAGCTCGGAAGCAGCGCTTATCCCAACATCGTTGATGAATCTCGGGTTTACACTGGTGCTCCTCCTCATCCTCCTCCTCCTCGCTGCGCGGGCGGAGTAGAAGCCCGAGGCGAGCGTGCCGGGCAGGCCACGGGAGCGCAGCAGAAGACAGAGCGGGCGGCCCGAAGCGGCCGCGCCGGGTGGGCTGTGCTGGCGACCGGCAGGCAGCAGGGCAGCGCGGAGGAGCAGGCGGCAGCGACGGCACGCTGGCCCCGGCGGGCGGCGTCCCGGGCGGCCTCTGGAGCGAACGAGCAGCGCAGTGCTTGCTGGAGGCAAGGCGGTGAAGCCCCGATTGGCATCAGTGCTCCAGGGCGGGCTGCCGCGCCGGAGGCGGCACACGGCACACGGCTCGAGGCCGTCGCGGCCGCGGCGGTGCGGCGGGTGCTCAGGCTGCTCGGGGCGCTCCGCCCAGCCTCGCGGGGCCCGCAGGGGCCCAGGGGACGGCAGCAGAGAGGACGAGTGGAGCGGTCGCCGCAGGAGGGGCGGCCTGGGCGCAGCCGAGTGCGGCCGCGGCCGCCGCGGGGGCTGCGCGCGGGGGGCCTTTGGCGGGGACGGCACGGTCAGGCGGGCTGACGCCGCAGACTGCCCGCCCGCAGCAGCAGCGGGGTGGTCGCCCGAGCCCGCGGAGGCCGTGGTGGCCCGGTTCGGCGAGACGGTGGAAGGGGCGCTGGAGCTGAGGTGGCGCGGCTTCGGCAGCGCCATCGGGGATTCGCGGCCGCTGTCCATGTTGCCGCCCAGTCCGAGAGTGTCGTCCGCGTCGGATGGCGGAGGGTCGCGGCCCCATGTTGCGACGGGAGCGTCGCCCGTGGGTACCGTCAGAGGAGACTGGGAATATGGGCCCGCGCTGAGAGTTAGGTTTCCGCGCAGCCACTCTGTGCGCGGCGCACCCTGGCCTCAGCATCGGCGTCGTTTGCCGCCTGGGTTGAATGCGTCCTCGTCGTCTTGGTCGGGCCATATGCTGGCGAGAGAGAGAGAGAGAGAAAAAAAAAAAAAAAAAAAAAAACGAGAGAGAGAGAGAGACAGAGAGGAAGTTCCTCCTCGGGCGCAGGCATGGCAGGTGTGGGGGAGGCGAGGTGCTGGGGCCGGGACGGCGCGAGCGCGCTTTTAAGCATCCCGTCCCTCGGCAATCCTGATGCGGATGGAATGCGTGCGCGCGTGTTCTCGCAAGTCGCCCACTCATGATCCTCCTCTCTCATCCTCCCCCTCGTCCCCACCTCTTCGTCTTCCCCCCCTTCAGACCATGACGAAGAGCCCTGGCGGTCCGCGACGCACCCCGGGTCCCCTGCCTCCGAGGCCAGCATCAGCGGCGACGTCCCGTGCGAGCCGTTCCCGGGCCGGTGTATGGCTGGCTCGCTCGACACGGGCGGGAACTTCACCTCGCCGGGCGGACGGCGAGGATCTAGAGGGCTCCGCGCTACGAAAACAACACGGCGGAAGGGTTCTGAAATTTCAAACCTCTTGGGGCTCTGGCCGAGCCCCGGAGCCGTCAAAGAACGGCCCAGGATGAAACATATCCGAAAGGAGATGGTCGATACCTCCTGGGGCCCATAGTACAAGAGCCCCATATTGAACACCACTCGTCTCCATCCGCGTAATTGCTGGACTTGTTTGTTCAAGACGACTCAGCGCGGTGCCGAGGCGAGAGCCTCATGATGAGAACAGCCTGCCCTCCATTCGTGCAAGTGGTTGTGCCACATCATGGATCGGTCTTTTGTTTCTCCCACCGACGTCGCACCCTCGTTCACCGCATTACATATTTCTCTCCCCTTCGCTCGTGCACACATCAGGCATGCGCGCAAGTGCATAATATATACGCTCACGCAACAAAAATGTATATGTGTATAAATATGTATATATACAGCCGCCAGCGCGTACACATCACACACACACGCACGCACGCACACACACACACACACAAACACACACACACACACGCACACACACACACACTGTCACACACGCACACGCACACACCATTCAACGATAGTTGGCATCTGGCGTGATCATTGCATCACACGCGCCAGACGCGAGCAACAAACAAACATACACACAGCACATACGCATATGTGGCACGTCCACATACAGCTGCACACGCATCAGGCACATACGCAAGACACACAGACGCAGACCGAGTCACTCACATGACACGCGCACCACACAACACATACACGTAGGATTTGCAGTGCGTAGCAGGCGTTGCACTATCCCGACACCAGAAAGGGCGAACAAGCGGCGGGGACGCTATCCGTCTCAGGTGCCCAGGGTGCGGCAGGCGTGGCACTTCCTCGACGCCAGAGGGGGCGCGCAGGGAGTGGGGCGCTTTCCGTCTGAGGCTTCCAAGGCGCCGCAGGCGTGGCACTTCCTCGACGCCAGAGGAGTTGTGCACAGGGTGAGAGCGCTATCCGTCTCAGGGAACCCGGGCGTGGCAGGCGTGGTGTTTCGCGACGCCAGATGCAGCGCGCTGGTGGTGGGGGGCTATCAGGGGGTGCGCAGACGGCGAGGCCGCTCCCCGTCTCAGGCTCGCAAGGCGTGGTACTTCCTCGACCAGAGGGGACACGCAAGGGTGCGGGCCCAATCCGTCTCAGGCTCGCAGGGAGTGGTGGGCGTAGCACTTCCTTGACCTCCTTGATCCCAGAAGGGATGCGCAGGAGGTGGGGTGGGGTCGCTATCCGCCTGGCACTTCGCGGCACCAGAGGGGGCGCGCTGGGGGTGGGGGCGCTATCCGTATCAGGCTCCCCGGGCGTGGCAGACGTGGCACTTCCTCGACGCCAGAGGGAGTGCGCAGGGGGTGGGATCTCTATCCTTACTTGTGATCCAGAGACTCTTCTGGAGCTGCCCCAAGCCGGGTCGAGCCCGGAGCCCTCGACTCCCATCGCTGGGAGCAGGGACACTGCCGTGTGGCATCAGTTAGGCTGGCGAGTGGTTGCGGCTCGTCCTAAACTCCGAGCACCTCGGCTCAAGCCCTCTGAGACCAGCAGGGTTCTCACTCCAGCGCGTTAAGCGTGAGATGTCTCAGCCTCCTCCTCCTCCTCCTCCTCACTCCCCTGAGACTGGACGCAGATATACTGGCTCGAGTAGTTATTCGAACGGGCGCCAGCTCAACTGGCTCGCGGGCAGGATAAAGCTCGCGGAACGCTGGCTAGCAACAACATGACGTAATTAAGTATGTGGGGCTCCTCGGTAGCGTAATGAAAGAACGGGTGCGCGAAGCGTCAAGGCGAGACCCCCCTTTTGAAAACGGCCCGCCCTCCGCTCGTGTAATGTGTGGGGGATGTCAAGTTAAACCTGCAAACCGTAAGCGAAACGCCCAGCCTACCTTATGGTGCTGCATGGAGGAGCAATGTGTAAGGAAAGGGGATGGAGGAGGAAGGAGACTGCATATCCGAGTATGCAGACGAGAAAGACGTGTAGGAAGAGGAGGGATAGGAACGCAGATGGGCCAAATGACGTTGTCATGCCGTTACAGTAAGAACTATTGCAGGCCCTTCAGCATACGAAGAGATGGAACGGCTGTATGAGAGTGTGCGCCGTATGCTGCAGATGGGCGCCACAATGACGCAACATGTTGTTTCGCGTACGCCGCCAGCCGCCCCCACACGATTGCACGTTCGCAAAGAGTTGAAGCCACAATGTGTTTGCAATCGCTCGGCCGAGTTCGTGAATTGACAATATGGCGAAAAAGAAATACCGAAAACATAGCAGCTACTCGACAAACGTATACGCATGGAAGCAAGCGAAACCACTCCCCACATGTTCGGTTGAAATACAACATGAAAGCCTGAAACCTTCATTTGTATACAAAACCGTGAGTAGCACTGCAAGCCAAAGCCAGGGCAAGTGCAGTGCACCTTCCTCGGAAACAACCAAAGAACAACCTATCGAGAAATCTGCTGTCCCTCAGGGGTGCTATCCCATACGCGCGATACAATCAAAAAACATGATAAGGACGCGCGGTAAGGACGCAAGACCCTTGGAAGCCGAAGTTGGGATTTCTGGGGCGGCGGACGACGAAAACCTCAAGGACGCAAGAGCAAGGACGAGCAAGGTCGCAAGGGTACCATGAGCAAGGTCGCGCGTCCTTATGAGGGTTTTTGACTGCAATGTATGAAAACGTTGTAAATGCCTTCCCCCATGATCGGGACGACCATTCATATCATCGGGCATCACAGAGCAGCAGACGAGGAACAGCAGCTCGGTACAGTACGATACCAGGCACAAGGTCATGTTGTACCCCGGATCCCAGACATGCCACGCCGGGGGAACCAGCAAAGGAGGGAAGGGAGGACGAAGGAACACCGACAAACACAAAATAAGTGAACTGATGCGCTGGACAGGCCCGCGAGTCCGACTGGCACAGAAAGCAGCGCGCCAGATCTGGGCGCGAAGCACGGGCCAGTGTCAAGATGGAAAGAATCGAGTAGGGGATCGACTGCAGAATTGCTTCACCCCCAATTTAGTTGTCTGCCGAATCGGCGAACAGAAGAACGGTAGAATGCTACGTACCTTCTCGAGGTTCGACTGGCAAATGTTGTAGCCGATCCCCTACTCGAGAGAAGCGGCCACGAGGAGGCCAAACATCGCCCAGAACACGGTGCAAAACCGAGGCGGCTCCAGGAAAGCCCAATGCAGCCGACAAAAGGACGGACGAGTGCTGGGCGAGCCGAACAGCACTGGGAACACTTTTACATCGCAGCGCGGCAAATGCGATCCACACGCGCGTCGGGGCAAGACCAGGACACGGCGTCGCGAATTAACCCGCATGCAAGAGGGGAGGGGGAAGGCGAGGGGGGAGGCAAGCTGGGCGCGGGGGCACTCTCACGCAGCCGGGCTGCGGCGAGCGCGCGGGGGGCGGGCGGGCCGAAGGGCAGCACCCTGGCAGCTGCCACGGGGCGGCCGTCGCAGAGCACAACAGTGGGAAACCAAGCGAAGCGCAAATGTACGCAAGCAGCCAACAAGTACGTCACGATTGTTGGCTGGAGTGAACTCTGCGCGTGCGCTGGTTGTGGCAACCTGCGAACTCGAACATGTAATTAGCGCAGCGGCGATGCCAGCTCCCACTGCTTGCACGGCCCCGTGTGCGGACGGGCGGCACGGCATGTCCGTTACCACCAGCAGAACTGACGAACACGAGCTCCACAACCGAACACTGGGGTCCCCGTTCAACAGCGCGGCGACCCCGAAACGGATCGATCAGGCCGTGGACAAAAACCTGCCGCTGCCAGCAGGTCGGCTGGGGCCTGTGCAAGGCTATTTGCGCGCTTATGCTGGGCCTGCGCCCGTGGAAGCCCCGGTTGCAGGGTGTCGCGCGCGATGCCTCAGAAGGATGGAGCGCGGGTCTCGGGCCAAACTCTGGCTCCGATGCGGCCCTGGCCCCACAGTGAGGCGTGCTCGTTGTGTGTGTTGCTCTTGGCCCCGCACTTCCCCCAGACAGGCCCGCGCCCCTTAGCCCACCCCCGCCGTGGCCCTGGCCCGAGGATGGCGCCTCTTGACTCACGGGCGCCCGCTCGACGGAAGGAACCAGGGACCCACCCGACCACCGCGCACCAATAGCTCAGCTCAGATCTTGCGCGCCGTTCGCCCTTTTCGCCAGGACTTGCGATATTCCTGGGCGCCGCTCGCCACAGGGGGCCCACCCGCCGCCGGCGCGCCGGCCCGGAGATGGTGTCTCTGGATTCCTGGGCGCCGATTGCCGTGAGGGCCCACCTCCTCGAAATGCCCGTGGCAACGCGACCGAGATTTGATTCTCGGCCCGTTGGCAAAAGAAGCACGCGTGACCCTGGGATGGCCACCCCCCTCTTATGCCCCGCACGCCTGGGATGCTCCACCCCGCCCTGCCGCCGAGAGAAGACAACTGCTCTCGGGCGACACAAATCGCGTCGAAAAGAGGGGACGCGCGATATTCGAGGAGCCAAGCCAGAATGCTGTGGGTTCTCGCGCCGCTGACCTGAGAGAAGAGGAGGTGGAGGAGGAGGAGCACGGACCGATGGGGGAGGGTAGATGATTGGTCGCCCCGACCCAATCAACTGCCTTGAGATCCAGCTTCAAGTGTGACCAAATGACAGACACTGACAGATAAGGCAAAGGCGATCGAACAAAAACACAGAAGAAGGTGTAGAACATCAGGGGGGCACGGATGCAAGAACGTCGCGTGCGGGAGTCACGGCGTTGAGGGAGGAGGAGGAATAGGAGAAGGAGGAGGAGGAGGAGGAGGAGGAAGAGGAGGAGGAAGAAGATTCGCTTGAAGGATTCGCAACTCAGCCGTCCACTCGGCACACAAAGCTGAAACTCGTCATGTCGGTGAAACTTGACACCAACACCGCCACCCTGGGAACTCAACCGCCCGTCCCTAGGCTATCGCACCGACCTGACCATGTTCGAGCCGTTCAGGTAACGACACAGCACCCAGGCCGTGCCGCCCCGATAAGCCACCCGCGGAGCACCACCACCTCGGGCGACCGCTACCCCCACGCACGCCCAGGCGGGGGAACTGGACTGTGGGAAGGGTGGGCGAAGTTCCGCCAATGAGCCCCCCGTAGGGGACCGCGACACCGCCGCAGCCCTGGCGGTGTACAAGGTGGGCCACCGCAAGGGTGCCGCAGGCAAAACGTGACGACAAGGGTGCGCGGGCTTCAGTTTCCCAGGGCGCCGCATGCGTGCCGCGCCAGCGCACCGGCTCCCGCCCGTGGGCAACGGAGGAGGAGGAGGAGGAGGAGGAGAAGGAGGAGGAGGAGGAGAAGGAAAAATGAGGATGAGGAGGAGGAGAAAGAGGGAGGATGAGGAGGAGGAGGAGGAGGAGGAGGAGGAGAAGGAGGAGGAGGAGGAGAAAAGGGAGGAGAGAGAAGGGAGAGAAGGAGAGGAGGAGAGGAGGAGGAGGAGGAGGAGGAGGAGGAGGCCGAGGAGCAGGAGGAGGCGGAGCCCCGTCCGTCCCCGCCCCCCCCCCTCCCCTCCCCGCGGGCGCTGCTGCGGGACCCACGCCTGGTCGCGCCACTTGGCCACGTCCTCGCGCGACACAACAGCGGGGACGGCCGCGGGCGGCGGCCCGTCGCCGCCACCGTCGCCGTCGTGCTCCTCCTCGTCCTGCTCCTCCTCTCACTCCTGGTCCTCCTCCTCCACCTTGTCGTTGTCCTCCCCCTCTTCCTCCCCCTCCTCCTCCTCGTCCTCCTCCTCGTCCTCCTCCTCCTGCTGCTCCTCCTTATCCTCCTCCTCCTCCTCCTCCTCCTCCTCCTCCTCCTCCTCCTCCTCCTCCTTCCTCTGTCTCCGGATACTCATCTTCCTCACTTCTCGTACTCTGCGAATGCCCGTGGGCTACAGGACAGTAGCTACCCTCACTGGTGAGTATGTTCTACGGTAATGGTGCCAGCCAAGAGGGCACACTGGAACCTAGAATCAGAAAAAAGAGAGAGAGAGAGAGAGAGAAAACAAAAAAAAAGAGGGAGAGAAACTTCCCATACAGGTGCCAGGGGCGTCCCTAACACCTCCGGCCTCGCGCCGGGCCGGGGAAAATTATCTTGCCTCGAGCGATCCCCACCGAAACCTTCGGCGTTTCATCTCGAAGGTGCCCGCGCTCATCAGAACGATGTGCGGGGGGCGAGGTAGTCTCGGCCAGTGCGGCGGTCGGGCCATGTCGCAAGTTGTGTTGTGAGATGTGTTTGGTGCTGTGTTTTGTGTGACCAACTCTGCCATAGCTGATGATGTTGTGTTATGATATGTGTTGTTACGATATATAATATTACTACGCCGCGGTCTGTCATGCTATGATTATGTCATTGTGCAGACTGATATGTGTTGTGATGCTGTGTTATGATGTGGTTCACTATGTCATGGTGTCATGTGATGATATGGTATTGCATATTATGGAATGGTATGGTATGTATTATCCAGTGTGTCATGACATGCGTGAATATGGTGCGCTGTGGTTTGATATCATATGTCATGTGATGTGACGATGTAGCATGGTTCGTTTTAGCATGTTCAGTTATGCGTTGAGTTGTTATGGTATGCTTGGCTTGTCATGCTATGGAATGATACGTGCTGTGAGGCTGTGCTGTGGTATACACTACTCCGTCATGGTGAGCTATGTTACGATATGGCCTGTCATGTTAGGGTATGCTATGCTCGGATACGTTCTGTTCGGTAGTGTGGTTGGCGGTCTGCTCTGTTATGTGGGGGACCTGGGGATCTGACGGCCGTGGTATGCAGAGTGGGCGAGTCGGCGCGGGGGGCGACACCACCAGGGATTATCCGAGGACCTGGGGATCTGGCGGCCGCGGTATGCAGGGCGGGGGTGGGTGGGACCACCAAGGATTAGCCGGAGCCTGGGGATCTCGCGGCCGCGGTATGCAGGGCGGGAGGCGGGCGGGACCACCAGGGAATATCGGGAGCCTGGGGATCTGGCGGCCACAGTATGCAGGGCGCGGGCGGGGCGGGACCACCAAGGAACATCCGAGGACCTGGGGATCTGGCGGCCGCGGTATGCAGGGCGGGGGGGTGGGACCACCAAGGATCATGCGAGGACCTGCGGATCTTGCGGCCGCGGTATGCAGGGCGGGGGGCAGGCGGGACCACCAAGGATTATCGGGAGCCTGGGGATCTGGCGACCGCGGTGTGCAGGGCGGGGGGCGGGGGGACCACCAGGGATTTTTGGGAGCCTGGGGATCTGGCGGCCGCGGTATGCAAGGCGGGCGGGGGGGGAGGCCTGTTCGTAAAATCTAACGACCCCAACCTGTCAGGGGCGGAAAAAACACTACATCCTTGTCAGGCGTCAGACCAGCGTTTGCGCTGGCCGCCTCGCGTTTTCGCGGCTGGCATCCTATGCCACGGAGCCCCGCGAACGGCTCTCACACTCCACCTGCTGTCTGCGCAAGCGGGGATCTTGTCCGTCAGCACCAATTTTCCCTTTCTGGAAAGCACGGTATAGGCCTCCACTCCAAATCTGGCTGCGAGCTCCTCACTAATATACATAGCACCCCGGATGTAGGACACCCACGGCTCGTCAAGCTGGCGTCCAACGTGGACCATGGTGGGTAGCATGCTGTGGTGCTGCTGAACCCAACGAACAGGCACGGGAAAGGAAGGCAACGGTATAGAGAAGGCAAGGGAGGACAGCGACCTGGAGAAGGTGCAAGAACAAGGGTTGGGAGGAAAAACAAACAAGAAGAAGGAACAGGGCAATGACAAGTACAACGGGCATTCGCACAGCTATGCATACATACATCTGTAGATGCATGTATATAAACGGCGGTTGTGTGGACTCACTCACATGCTCAATCATCGCACAACTACACATAGTCGTGTTAGATGATCTGCTTAGCTAGAACAGCAAATTCTGCCAGCCAGGTAAGAGCCCACCAGCCCTTTGAGGCGTGGGTGGCCTGGGGCGATTAGTATTCGCTTCGCGTCCAAAGCCCCTCTTCCCTTGAGGCAGGGTGCCCCCCCTCCCCGGGGTGTCTTAGGGGTCTCCGCGAGCGGTCCGAGTGCCCAAGATGGCTCAAGATGAGGATGGCTCCAAGAGGGCACCCGCTGCTCCCAAATGGCCGCGTGGTTCAACATAGCCGAGGGCTGTTCTAAAAGGGCTTCCGACACGCCCCCAAGAGGCCCCAAGAGGACCACAAGACGGCTCCAAGTGCTTCGGGAATCCTCTCGGGACTTCCCGAGAGGCCGAAACCCTTCAACCACCAAAGATAACTAAATGATCGGTACCTTCTCGCCTGTTCGGTTCCGATGCGGTTTTGGGACCTCAAGATGGCCCCAGGATGACCTAAGAGAGCTCCAAGAAGGGTTCACATTGCTCCCCAGACGGCCCCAATACCGCCCAAGAGCGTCCCAAGGGCGCCCCAAGAGGGCCCCAAGAGGCGGTGTTGATGGTCCCGGGAGGAGGAGGATTCGGGAACCACCCACGTTCGATCGATGGCATCCAGGATGGACCCAAGAAGCCCTCCAGGGCTCCCAACGGGGCCCGAAGAGAGCCCCCAGAGGACCGCCAGAAAGCCCCAAGACACACCAACAAACGAGCCGCAAGAAGGCCACAATACCGCCCAAAAGAGCACCAAGAGGGCTCAAAGAGGGCACCGAGAGAGTTCTCGTCTTCGTCGTCCTCGTTGTCCTTCTCCTCCTCCTCCTCCTCCTCCTCCTCCTCCTCGACAGCATTTGTCTCGGCATCGTTATCATCCTGATCTTCGTGTTCGTCGTTGTTGTGTTCCTCCTCCGTGTTGTCCTCCTCTTTCTCTCCCTCCTCCTCATCCTCCTCGTCCTCCTCTTCATCGTCCACGTTCTCATCCTCATTCTTGCCCTGGTCGTCGTCGTCCTCCTTCTCGTCGTCCGCGCGCTCCGCATCTTCCTTCTCCTCGATGTTTCCAAGAGGGTCCCGAAAAAGCCCAAAGAAGACTCCAAGACGGCAACAAGGAACTATACAATTGTTGGCCTCGCGGTATCACGATAGTTGCTTACCTACGCCCCATCGTCAGACAACCTCCGTGGGCATTGTTTCTGGATGGGCTGGTGGCAATACGCGGAGCGTCGAACATTGGTATATACGCACCCAAGACAGATTGACTGACTGCTCTTCTTGTACCCTGACTCGCAGGGGGAATGCACTCCTCCCCCTTATTCTCCTCCTCCTCCTCCTCCTCCTCCTCCTCCTCCTCCTATTCGTCATCTTCCTCCGTCCGCTCCTCCTCCTCCTCCTCCTCCAACTCCTCCGCCTCCTCCGCCTCCTCCTCCCCGCCTCGAAGGGGGCGCGGGTACTGCAAAGAAGAGGGCGCAAAACACCGTCAACGTCTTACGAACCCACAGTGCCTTGCGTTTCGACCCCCTCATCCTGGTTTGCCCCAGCGCTGACAACTCTCAAAAATGAATACTGTCTTCCGCCGGCTTCCGCCGAGCTTCAGACGGCATCTGCCGGCGAAGCCGCGGAGGCTCTACTTCCGCCAGCATCCGCATGCCGTCCGCCGGCCTTCAGGCCTCCTTGAGTACGTCGTTATTGTTCTCCTTCCAAAAAGGGGGGCCAGTGAGGTGCTCCCTTCGTCTCGCTTCAAACCCTCGGCGACCGCCTGGGTGCGGTCGCTTGTCGCTCTGCACGCCAGTCAAACGGACATAGGCAGACACATGAAGCAGGAAGGCGCTTCAAGTCGACTGGGCTTCAGCCCACCCCAGGCATAGAAAGGAAAAAGGAGCGCCCTTCAGCTATTCAAGTATGACGGCACGCGCTCGACTACTCGATCGTGAGACGATACTCCGAAATGCCTTCTCTCAACAACCGACGAGTACACCCAACAACGGCCGACCAGCACGCTCGCACCGCCCCTGTACAGCCCACCGAATGCACACAAGGCGACCCGTGCAGAAGGGAGCGAAGTTGAACGGCCCAGCCAATGACGTCCACACCAGGATGAGGTCTGGCCTCTGGCGGAAACAGATCTGGGGAAGGCCAGCCGCAAATGCAATACCGACGACAGAAAGAGCAACACGCGTGCGGAAAGGCGTGCTCATTCCCCCCTCGAGCAGTCTGCGGGGCCTTGTGCTCGATGCGCTTGACGTACTTTCCAACCGCGGCGTCGGCGAGGAGATCTTTGCTCGTCACCTGCCAAGCGGGGGATTCAATGCGAACCCTCCGCCTCGAATAAACCACCGCACGTAGCGAAACCACGGCCATTCCTCCTCCTCGTAATCGCCGCCGCCCTGACCCTCCAGCAGGTGAACTGACCACGGCTGCACCCACATGCAGCGTGCAAAGGCGGAAACTCGCTGGATTGACAAGCGCCCGCCATGCACGCACTGATTACCCTGCTCCGCCAGTGCGCGCGCGGCCCTGCTCTTTCGTCAAAGTGGCGTGCGGCCAAGGCGAGGGCGGGGAGGAGGAAGAGGAGAAGGGGCGAGGAGGAGGCCTCAGGAGGCCCTGAAAGGACCCGCGCAGATGGAAAATGATCGATCCTCTGACCTCGAGGGCGGAAGAGGAGGATGCTGACGATGGCGCGCCACACACGGGCGCGATTAAGACTTGGCCCAAGTTTGCCATTGCCATGGCCTTGCAACAAGATTCAAAATGGTGAAGACGAACACGCAGGCATCCTGCGTGAGCGCCCCGTTGAGCGCCCCGTTGATTCAACGGGCGCACCAACAGGCAATCGTCGAGCTGGATCCCACCAATGTTGCAGGATGCCCCGTGCGATTCGGTCATGTCGAACCTTTTCGTAAACAGGCACCCAGTCATATGTTCGAGGATGTCCGTCAGGAGCCGCTCATGTTTTGCTGCTTTGAACCAGGCGCACGCCAAATCTGAAAGGATGCCCCACGAAATTCTCTGGTTCCGAACCTGTTTCGGGGGCCAGCCCCAGATCATACCTTTGAAATCCCACAAACAAAAAAACGTTCACTGTCTTGTCGCTTCGGGCCAGCATCTACTGTTTCACGCCCAGTTCTGAATATGGCTCGGACCTGTGTGCGATGAAACTCCATGCACCTTGCCGCTTGCACACCGCCATGCCGCTCGCCTGGAGTACGTCACCGAGGATGGCGATGCGAGCTGCTATCCAGCGATCGGCGCCAGTCGCGCGTGGCGCGCTACGCTTTCCAACGCTGCGCAACGAGTCGGTATCATGGTGACCCACAACGGCGTGAAGGGTCCACCGCCAAAGGGCGACGTCACTCCGTTCTCAGTAGGCCGTCGCGCTGGCTCCGCCGAGCACGTCAGGCCGCAGCGCGAGCAGGCAAAAGACCGGGACCTCCGTCTGGTAGTTCGGGTAGTCGCTGGGCTACCCGCTGGGAGCTTGCAGCAAAGCAAATGGGCATCGTCGCTTCTTTTTCCCAACGTACCAGGTCGGGTTCTTGTTTTCCCTGGACACCCCGCGCAGTACTTCTCCTCCTCCCCGTCTCCTCTTCTCCCTTCGGACAATCACTCACCCAATCACTCACACACCATCCTCATCACCATAACAACACCAGCCTCATCATCAATCGCAACATCATCGTCATTCACTCAACCACTCACACCATCATCATCCGCCGCACACACATTCACCACACACGACCAAACTCTCACGCACTGAAGTCATCATCGGCATTAGCATCATCATGATCGGAATATCCTTCATAACCACCAGCTCGGCGTCACCATCATCAATGTGACAGCATCATCATCACCACCATCACCATCACAATCACCATCACCATCACCACCATCATCATCACCGTCACCGTCACCATCACCATCACCATCACCATCACCATCACCATCACCATCATCATCATCATCAGCATCATCAGCATCATCATGATAATCAGCATCATCATCCTCATCAACATCGAACGCACGCTCACGCATACGTTCATCTCATCAAAGTCTCGAACGGGAGCCCGGCTTGTGAGTGCAATGTGAGGAAGTCGCAGGCGGGAACCCCATCTCCATGGGGCCAGCAGATTATGTTACTGATCCGAGCGGGCCATCCCAATCCTGTAACTGACGTCACTGTCGGGCCCCTGAGCCTGAAATCTGGAGGAACTCTCGTGTCGGAGCCTCGTCGGTGAGTGAATTGCGAGGAAGCCTCAAGCGGAAGCCCACTCTCCATGCACCCCGCGGATCATGCCACTATTCCGAACGTGGCACCCCGATCCTGTAGCTGTCGTCACGCTCAGGCCCCTGAGCATTGAATCTGGAGGACGTTTCTTGCAGGAGCCCCGCTTGAGAGTGCACCGCGAAGAAGTCTCAGGCGGGAGACCCCTGCCTGTGCGGCCAGCAGATCACGTTACTAATCCGCGCGGGCCATCCCAATCCTGTAACTGTCGTCACTTTTGGGATCTTGAGCCTTGAATGTGGAAGAACTCTCGTGCTGGAGCCTCGTCCGTGAATGATTTGCGAGGAAATCTCAAGCGGGGCCCCCCTCTCTGTGGGGCCCGCGGATCACTTTACTAATCCGAAAGTCCTATAACTGTCGTCACGCTCGGGCCCTGAGCCTTGAACCTGGAGGAACTCTCGTGATGGAGCCTCGTCCGTGAGTGAATTGCGAGGAAGTCTCAGGCGGGAGTGCTAATCCGAGCGGGTCATTCCAATCCTGTGGCTGTCGTCACTTTCGGGCCCCTGAGCCCTGGATCTGGAGGAAGTCTCTTGCAGGAGCCACGTCCGTAGGTGAATTGCGAGGAAGTCTCAAACGGGGGCCCCGTCTCTATGGGGCCCGCACCTCGTGTTCTCAATCCGAGCGGGTCATCCCAATCCTGTAACCGTCGTCACTTTCGGGCCTGCGCCAGGGCAAGGAGAATGACGCAGGGGAGACAGCATAGCCGCCGCCCCAATCACGAGGACGGCAATGAAGATCATTTCCTGATTAGCCGAGAGGGTTCTCACGCGGGGTCCTGCCGTCGGAGTACTTTGACGGTCGGCACTGTCAGCTAGTTTCTCGTTTCTAAACAAACGCCTTGTTGCACCACCCTTCTGCTTCCGTGTCCGCCTGCATGTACACAAAATTTGCAGTGACCGATTGTCGCAGGTCCTGCGGCGAAGGTCCTATTTGACCAGCCATCTTCCACCTGTGAAAAGAGCACGGGCGGGGCCTCCCTTAGCGTAGCCCCAGTGGGCGTTGCCTTCGCGGGCGGGGCAACTGCTGCGGAGGGAGACTCTGGGCCAGCGCCCGCGTTGCAGGACTCGTGCAATCGCCGACCCGTCGCTGGCGGCCCGCAGTCGTCGTCCCCCTTCGAAACTGGAGCTCCACAGCTGGCTGGTAATGCCGAGGTCAGACGCGGGCGCCTCATTTTGACAATGGATCGGCCTCAATCCTTGTATCTGTTGCACACTCTTGCACGCCAAGTCGCACGTGAAACATCAAGCGGGGTGCAGCTTCCAGTTACCAAACAACACACGCACCCTTCATTGCGATTGCATGGAATTCGGGAGCGGCCAAGAGGGGGGTGTCCAAGAGGGGGGGTGCAAACCATGACCGGCGGCATGTGCGCGGCCCAGCGGGGGGGCGAGGGACGTAATGAAATAAGAAGAGGCGCCATGAAATCTGAGGAAAAATCATGGACCCCGCCATGAAATCCACCCCCCCCTAGTCATCACCCCCCTCTTGTCCGCTCCCGAGCAACGTGCGGGGCGAGTGTGCGCAGCGCCGGGGCGAGAGGCACGTCTTGGAAAGGCGCCGCCCTCCCACCCCGCGTTGATGGAAGAATTCCCACGCGTCTGCTCGGCGCTAAGGCCAGCGACGATTAAGAAAACGGGTCTTGCACGAGATGGCCAAGCGGCCTTACTCAGCTGCGTACGCGGGCCGCCAGCGCGGCACGCCACAGTGGAGACGAGAGCGCTTGCCCGCGATCTTACGCGGGGAGCTGACGCGCCGATGTCGGCGCAGGCGACTCCGTTTACCTGGCGTCGCTCACATTTGGGAAAAGGTGCCGCCCTCCATCTCCGTAGCGGTTGAAGACGCAACACGACCGCACGCGGCGCCGAGGGGAGAGCCACCGAGGAGGACCACCCGCCTTCCGCCCGTGCAGCTCTCTTGGAGGCTCCTCGCCGGAGCACAAACACAAGCGGCGAGGGAGCCTCGAGCGACAGGCGGAAAGCGAAGCGCCCGGCCTGACCTGCCCACGCGTCGGGCGGTGCGACGCGGGGGAGCGATGTGCAGGGAAGAAGAGCAAGGGAGCTCGCGGGCCACGGGAGGGGGCGGCAGCGCGCTCGGCCCCCACCTGGCCCAAACCATGTACCCGAGCGCCTGTCCTGTTCTCGCGATGGCCCATCGACACGACGCCCCGGAGAGGCGGTCGCCTTCGGCACCCCTGGACCGCGTGCCCCCGCCCGATGCTGTTCAGCCTGGCAGAGCTCACACAGCGCGGCAGATCTCGACGCATGCGGGAGACAGGTGGCGGAGGAGAAGGCACTCCTTCCCCCCCGCACTCCTTCTCCTCTTCCCCCTCCCCCTCCCATCCATGAGCGGGAGGCGGTCAAGCGCGCGAGGCCAAGGAAGCCACCGTGGCGCGCACGTATACAATCTTGGTGCCGTCCGGGGCCTTCTCGAACCCAATCACCTGGACGAGGGGGGGGGGAGGCAGGATGTAGGAAGCAGGAGGCGGAGGAGGAGGAGGAGGAGGAGGAGGAGGAGGAGGAGGAGGAACAGGAGGAACAGGGGGGAGGGAGGGAGAGGAGGGAGGGAGGGAGGGAGGGAGGGAGGGAGGAGGGAGGGAGGGAGGGAGGGAGGGAGGGAGGAGGAGGAGGGAGGAGGGGAGGAGGAGGAGGAGGAGGAGGAGGAGGAGAGGAGGAGGAGGGAGGGAGGAGGAGGAGGAGGAGGGAGGGAGGAGGAGGAGGAGGAGGAGGAGGAGGAGGAGGAGGAGGAGGAGGAGGAGGAGGAGGAGGGGGAGCGAAGCCATGGTCCACGGTAGGGGCGAGGCCCGTTGACGGCGGCTCTGTAGGCGCCGAGCGCACTTGTCAGCCATGCCAGCGCAAGCCGAGGGGCCGCGGAACCCCCGGGTGTTCCCGGGGCCGCCCCCCGCGGCGAACCCTGGCCGAGACGCCACAGCAGGAGGTGCAGTCGGACCTGGGCCAGAAGAACACCCTTCAAGAACATGAGACCTTCCGCCGGCCAGTGCAAACAGAGCATCCAACGATACCCGACCCAGGATGCAAAAGAACATCCAGCAAGCACGAAGAGCATTAGGGTACCCTCCCCGAACCGACCTCGATCTTGTACCTCGGCCCAACGGTAAGAAATTCGGCACCCCGTCTACCATCGCAAGAAGCCATGGAGGGGGCCCTCATGGTGGCGTGGCCGCGCCGTGTTCTTCGATACCCCGCCCGGGACAGTCCCATCTCCAGCGCGGGGAGGCATCGTTGGCCATCTCGCCGGCCGTGGCCCAGCTGATGTTGGGGACGTCGCTGCTTCGTCTTCTTCCTCCCCTGAAAGGGGGGAAGGAAGAGCAAGGAGAAAGGGGAGAGGAGGGAGGAGCAAAAATAAGGGGAAGAAGAGGGGGGTGATAGGTGTGATCCCTCTTGGATGCCTTGCATCCCTGGAGGGGGGGGCCTACGCGCCTCCTCTCTAGACCCAGCACGGCCCAGTGAGGATGTGAGCCGCACAGGACCCAGTTCGCACGGACGCTCCCCGAGCGAATCTTGGGAAAAACGGCGCAGGGCTGCCAAGTAGGAGGGGGGAAAAAGGAGATCTGGACGTGGGGGAAAAGGATAATGAACACGATGAGTAATCGGAGCAGGACAGGAAAACGAGGAGCAAGAGCGCGCTTCTTTATGTTCGACGATGACGGGCGTCAGGGGGGGGGGGGGGGCGGGGGGGGTATGATAACGTCCCCCCCGCCGTGTGGTTCCGGCACCACAGACGCGCCCGCGCGCACGACGCGACGAGTGACGAACGACGAGCGACGACGACGACGACGACGACGACGACGACGACGACGACGACGACGACGACGACGACGACACGAGCAGCATATAGGTGGCGATCTGCCCCACTGCGCCTGTGTACACCACAACGCTGGCGTGCACCACAGCGCGCGTGTACACCACAATTCCTGCGCACACTGCAACACCGCAACACCGCGTATACCTGCGTACACTCAACGCTTGCGTACACTACAGCGCCGGTGTACGTGTGTACACCGCAGCAACCATGTACAAAACAGCGCCTGCGTACACCACAATGCTTGCGCGCACCGCAGCATCTGTGCACGCCACAACGCCTGTCTACACCACAACATCCGCGTGCAACGCAGCGCTGGTATACACCACAGTGCCTGCGTGCATAGGACAGGTAGAAGGAGCATGTATGTGAGGATCTGCTGCGGACAACTAAACGCCACGCCAGGAAAGTGCTGATAATCGAGTGCGACGTTTTTCCCTCATCCCCCCTTCTCCACCCCCACCTCCTCCTCCTCCCCTTCCTCCTCCTCCTCCTCCTCCTCCTCCTCCTCCTCCTCCTCCTCCTTACCCCCTGTCGTGCGGGTTGGCGCTGCAGCGCACGTGCGCATCTCAGCGTGCACCGCAGAATGGTAATCGGTCCACTTGGTTCTCGGACGGCCAAATTAGCTGGAGCCTCCAGGACGCAGATGGGAGGAGTTAGGGTGGTGCGGGCGGACGCGGGAGGACTCGTACATCCCAGCGGCGCTCCTTTGTGCATAAGTATTCCTTTTCGATCGTTTTCTTTGGAATCCACAAGCGCTTCATTTTGTCATACGGGTTCCTTCTGACATTCTATAGACAACAGTGGTGCTGTGTTGCACACGGTTGCTGTGGTGCACGCGGGCGCCGTGGTGTACACGGGCACTGCAATGCACTGGTTGGCGGCAGTAACGCGGGAACCGTGGCGCGCGGTCCATAAACCGGTGTCTACGAGGCTCCGCTGCTCTATTTGGACGCCCGAAATGGGTACGGAAAGCATGGGTACAATGCCCAACAACAAAAGTTGCCCCAAACCAACAGCGGCCGCTGTTGGGCAGGCGGCCTTCTGTCTCCAATGGACACAGGCCGCGGTGGCGTGGACAGTGAGTCCTGTTCAAAATGAACAGGAACTGCTGTTGGGCATTGTACCCGTTTTTCATTACCCATTTCGGGCGTCCAGACTCTACGCGTCTCTGTCGAGCAGGACACACGTGTGCTCTCAACGCCTCTCTGCCCGGGCAAGAGACTTTGCACTCCGGGCATTGCCATACCCACCCCGTGGTGATCACGTCGGGATCGCACACCGCATGCTCCACGTTGTAATGGAAGCACATGTTGTTCGGCGCGTCACACACTAAATCGCAGACTGGGCAAACTCTGGGGTCGATAGCTGCAGCCGTGCGGCGTTTCAAAAAGCGATATCCCTCCCCGACCGGACGCACCAAAGGCACCTACTGACCAGGGATCCAGCGCGACAAACAATCCTGTTCAGATGCTGACAAACGGTGAGCCACTCCGAGCTGGCTACATGACATGCGGCACCATATCTTGCGGAGCTGCGCGTGCGGGAACCAAACCAGCTTCGAGAGCCCCGCGTGATCCAGAACGTGCTCTAGCCACCTCGGCTGCAGGATCCCGACCCCTGCTTGCCGGCTCTGACCGCACCAACCGAACAAAGCTTGCTTGGGCCGCCTATGCACTGGCATACGGGCCATGTGTCCCAACCACGCCAAGCTCTGTCTCGCTATAACGTCCACCATGGATTCCCACCCCGCCACCGCATACAGTTGCTCATCCGTGACATGGAATCCCAGCAACCGGTGCACGTCCATCCCCATGGCCTTGCGCACCGCGTAATGCGCCACACGCTGTGCCAACAATAGTTGTCGCTTCGTCCACGCCCTGGACTTGGAGAACGCTACCATAGTGGGCACGGCCGCGGCTTTCATGATAGTTAAGCGCACGTGCCGGCGCACCCCGCTGCGGCCCCCCCTGCCGAAACGGCCCTTGGGCTTCCAGGCTTGTCGCTCTTCCGCGACTTTCGCGCGAGCTCTGCTGGCGCGCCACGCAGTGCCCTTGTCCTGTTTGCCGCCTTCGGATATGATGCCGCCAACATGTCGGACACTCGCTACTTCCCCAAAGCCTCTGACCTCATACGGGCTGCGGTCCTGTGCGCTGATCCTCAGACATTCCATTTGAGCTCGGTTCACTCGTTCCTCCCAGTCCCCGAGCGTCGTCACAAAAGCCCCTTCGGCACGCTGCACTGCCTCCTCGCTACCGCAGATGCCCGTGTCATCTGCGTACCCAAAGTCACCAATTACCGAGCTAGCTACATCTCTGTGTGTGCTGCCTTTTGCTCCTACCACCTTGATGCGGGAATTCTTCACCAAATCCGCTTGTGTTCGGCAGTGCCACTGAATTCTGGCCGGCTCGCCCCGCTCCGCGGCGGCGGCCTCCCGCCGGGCGCGGAAATGCCCCATCACCCCACCGTGGTAATCTTAAAAAGTGGCGGGGGGGGCGATGGGCAACCTTCACGGAGCCCTCTATCTGACAGCCGCGGTTGGGACAGGCTGCCCGCGACGCGCGCTGCGTACTCCGCGCCTTCGCAAAGCGTCCGAGAAACCTTCATCACCCCAACATCACACCCCTGGCGCTTCAAGAGCTCCCAGAGCCCGTCCTTGCACGCGCGCGGGTAGGCTGTCTCGATATCAATCAAGCTGAACCGAAACCACTGCGCGTCCTCTTTGTTCCCCCCCGGCAAATCTCCTCCACCAACCGACGGCTAGTCTGTAACGCGTCGTCAACGCCGCGCCCTATCCGGAAACCGCATTGGGTCTCACGCATAAAGCCCTCCACCCATTGCCCCAACCGCGCCGCCACCACTCTCGCCAGCAATTTTGACCCGACACTGAGCAGGGCTATTCCGCGGTACGTGTTCTTGTCGGACCGGCTGCCCTTTCCTGTCCAAAGTGGCACCGCCACGCCCGCCTTCCATGATCTCGACCATTCTCGACTTTCATCATGATCCGCAGCTGACGACGCCCGCGCCACATCTCCTGCGCAACCTTGAAGACTGCCGCGCGGAACTGACGGCCACAGCACCTCAGGGCTTCGACTAGGAACTCGTCTGCCCCCGCGGCCTCCCTAGGCGCACGTGGCCAAGACACCGATCGAACTCCACTCGACTCGGCACGTGGCCGAGCCATGGCGTTGGCCGAGCTTCCTTCTGAACGTTCTGCCGCGCCCGCTCGCGCACCGCTCCCCTGCCTTCTGACAACTTCCGAAAGTGCGTTGCCCACGCTTCTCGCTCCGATTCCTGGTCGCCCACCCCCTGACGGCCCCCGTCCTTCCGACCACTCTTGGGCCGATCGCGTAATCCCCTGAACAAGTCGTAGAGAAGCGACAGATTGCCTCTCTCGGCGGCCTCTGTGGTTAGCCAACCCTGTTCCTCCCACCGAGCTTGTTCCCATCGCCGTAGCTGTTCTCACTTGGACGTCCTCGATCGACTCAAGGCGCGTCCACCATCAACGCGTTCTGCCTCTACTGCCTCCGTCCCGGGTCGTGGATCCAGACGCGCGGCCCGATCCCGCGCTCTGGCCGTCGCGATCTCCTCATCTAGTGCTGCGACGTCGCCTTCTTTACCTTCCATCCACGGGCGCTGGGCACGTCTGGGAGGCGCCGCCCCTAACGCCTAACGCTTCCAGTGCAGCTGCATGCGATATGGCCACTAAATCCTCCCAGTGGATTCCTTCTCCCTCCTGCGCCGCCGCCCTGTCCGTAAGATCCTCGAAAGTCGACCGGCACCGATGTGCTTGTGCTGTGGGGCCACTCAGACTCGCCCACGCAGGTCGCGACTTTCGACCCGACTGCCCCTTCGATCGACGCCGATCGCGCGCCTCGAGGCACGTCAGTTCCACTGGCTCATGGTCTGTGTACTCTTTCCAGTTCCACGTTGGCCCTGCGCGTCTCAAAAGGCCACGCTGCAGTGGGGTAGTTTCGCGCGTGTAACACCTTCGTGTCTACTGCAAACCATCTGGTCTTCCGCGGGATCAGGATGTGATCGATCATGCGTCTGTTACCATAGCGCGGATGTTCCCACTTTCACTGTTCCTTGCGTTTCCACAGGGTGTCCGTGACCAACAACTGGTGAGCCTTACAGAACTCCGCAAATCGACGGCTCACTTCGAACGCGTCGAGCTGCCGCGCCGCGCCCGCCCCTGACGTCCTGGGCCCAGCTTCGCCCCCGAACTCCCCACTTGCTCCGCGGAGGGCATCCGCGCTCATGTCCCCCCCGATGACGGCGCGATAGTTTCGGGGGGCATTGGAGATGAGCTCCCCCATGTCCTCCCAAAACTTCCCTCGCTCTGAGGCCGCCGCTGGCTTCGCTGTGGGGGCATGCCCCACCGTGAGGAACCAGCCTCGCCGGCTCCCCCCTCGGCCCAGGTAGACCGCCAGTCCGCGGCATCTCATTCCTGCTCGCCGTCCCCCGATAGCATGCTGCATTGCCCCAGTGCCCCGCCATCGTTTCGCCCAGGCTTCCCCCAAGGCGACCGACACTTTCCAATGTCACCACCGTGCACGTTTGCTCTCGCGTCTGGTACTCGTATACCCCCGCGCGGTGGTAAGCGACGTCGCTCAACAGGACAGCCTGCCATCGACGTTCTTCAAAGAGGCGGAACAGACATGCCCGCTTTGCCAAAGGGTCCGCGCGCGAGTAGCGCCCACCAAATCCACGCACATTCCAGCAGCCCACTCGGGCGTTCGAAGGTTTCTTTGGCTTAGGGTCCCTCTTTGTGGTGGCCCTCCTAAGGATTCTATTCTGCGTAAACCTCTAGTCGGATTTTTCTTCTGTCTCGTGCGTTTACGTCGAGCCCTCGTAGCCTTCTGCACCCGCTGGATAGGCGTCTCCCCACCCGTTCTCCCACCCGCTCCATCCACCTCCATATCTGGCGGCGCGTTTCTGGGAGGTCGGAGGGCCACCACAGCGCAGCGCCCTGGAGAGGCACTTCAAGGATCAAAAGGCCCAGACCCAAACGCCACGCCACACTTGCCAATCCCCGTTGACCAGGAGGGAACCAGCCTCGCACTGCTAGTTGCGTAGGGGAAGATTATAGGAATCCAACCGCCCCCGCACAAACATGGCAACGAGCCGTGCCCGCCCGCCCCACTCGAAATTTGAGCCGACATACGGCGGTGAGGAAACTGATGAAAGGTCGTACACGACGCATGTTTCAAACAAGGCGCCCCCCCACCACCAAACAGCGCAGCCACTGTGAGGCGACGGGAGCTGCTATCCGGGCCAGGGGGAACCCAGTAGCACTCCCATCAGTGGGTTGGCCGCCCCTTGGGTGCCAGCGCAGTCCCCCGAGCAACCTCCCCCCGGGCCCCCAGGGAACGTTGCCCCGCGGCTCAACCGGGAGGTGTGGGCACTTCGAGCCAGGCGCCATACCGCCCAGTCACGGAACCCAAATCGCATGTTGGAGCCATAGCACCCCCACGCAACGACCCAGACGCAATATGGGGGGATCTCTCCCCTACTTACGCATCATACCATCTACGCCGTCATCGAGAGCGCTGTAAGCTCCCGTCCGACTCGGCGACGTGCCAGTGTGGTTGGCGGCCACACGCGACACCGCGGCCCTGGGAGCGAGGCGTAGGCCGGTGAGGACACCGTGGCCCCTGCTCTCCACACGCTGACCATGTCGGCGTACCCCTCACTCGTTCCGTAGCCCCCAGGAAAGGGGTTTCGCATGCCCTACTCCACCAGTTTCGGAACACCCCTCACACGTTTCGTGGCCCCGTCGGGACATCCACCGAAGCCGCAATGAGAGGGGGGTCGCATGGTTTCTACTTGTGTCGGCAAACCCCGCAAACGCCTCGTGCCCCGACAGGGAGCTCCACCGAAGCGCCCAGGGGAGGGAGGGTCGTATGCGGTTCTCCACCCAGTTCGGCTTGGCTCCACAAGCAACTCCGCAAAGAACTGGGCTTCGCATGGGGCTCTCCACCCTTTCCGGCACACCCATCATACGAATGGTGGCCCCACAGGGAATATCACCGAAGCCTCCAGGAGGGGGGGGTTGCACGCGGTTCCCCGCCAATTTCAGCACACACAAACACACACACACACACACACGCGCACACACGCGCACACACACACACACGCACCTCACACGCTTCGTGGCCCTACAGGGGGCTCCACTGGAGCACCCAAGAGGTGGCCTTCGCATGCGGTCCACCACTCCGTTCGGCGCACCTCTCCCACGCTCCGTGGCCCCACACGGGGCTGCACCGCAGCGCCCAGGAGGGAGGTCTCGCATGCGGTGTCCCACTCATTCCGGCATACCCGTCACACATCTCGTGGGCACACAGGGAGCAGAGCCGAAGTCCCCAGGAGGGAGAGTTCGCCTGCGGTTCCCGACCCATCCCGGCACGCCCCTCACGCGCTTCGTGCCCCGACGAGGAGCCCCGCCGAAGGCTTCAGTGGCAGGGCCTGCATGCGTCTCCGCGCCAATGTCGACACACCCCTCGCACGCCCCGTGGCCCCGCAGGGAGCTCCACCGAAAACGGTACCCACAACGCGGCACCCACACCTGCACATGGCTGCGTGCTTCGCTGAGATACGTTTACACATCGGATTGGTTTCCGAGGTTTTGTGCTCGTATGTGTTGCTTCTAATCCCAAAGTTCTCGGTCCTTCCAAACTGTTGCCCCCGCCCGCTGCAGCGTTGACATCATTTCAGGGTCGGAGCTCTGCTCCGGTCATTCAGAACTGGCGCTCGCGCCCCAGCGCGGCCACCATCTCTGGATCCGAACGATTCCTCCTCGTTGTCGCCCCCTTCGTTTCCCCTGCCCCACCTTTCCCTAATCCTCCTGCTCCTCCCGCCGCTCCTGCTCCTGCTCCTGCAGTTATTCCTCATCTTCCTCCTTCCCCATGCTTCACAGAGTTCTCCTGCTCATCCATCACTTCCTCCCAATTCATTCAGACTGCGCGTAACAAGATGGAGTCCGTTTGGGTGTCCCAGGTACGACATGACACCCGTTGGCGGATATAGAGAAACATGAGCGCAATAGGGAGTGATGGGAGGGAGGGGTAGGATGTCATATGTGGCGCGAGCTCACCTAGCTTGGAGTCTCTCCTCTCCCTCCCCCAATATCATCCACTTCCTCTCCTTCCCCGCCCTTTGCCCTCTTCCCCTCTTCTCCTCTGCCGTCCCTCGCGCACCATCCCCCCAGACCACATGTGCCCCCCTACATGTTCCACTTCCCCCTTTTTCTTTCCCCAGTTCTCCTCCCCATCAACTCGCCTTCCCCTTCATATCCCCCATTCTGCTCCTCCCCCTCCCCTCCCTCTACCCACATTCCCCCCCCTTCCAATGCAATGACGCGCCCTTCACCCGTGAAAACCTGCCCACCAACCTCTAATAAACCACGTTCTGACCAAGATTTCAATGCGGATCCAGTCGTGTCGACGAGGGTCCCCCCCCCAAGAACAAGAAGGGGAGGCAGATGAGGAACCCGCTCCCCTTAACCGGCCCCTCCCCCTGGTCTTCCTCTGGATCGTCCCCTGGGCGGCGCAACTTGGCCTGGCCCTTCAGGCCCCTGTGGGGTCCGTCGAACACCACGACCTCATCCTTGGCCTTCTCCGGGTGCCATGGCTTCGTCCACTTGTCGTCCAGCGGGATCTCAAGGAGGGGGAGAGCGCGGGACACCGTCCCCTCTTGTTCCCGCCGTTTTCCTTACCTCTTTCGTCCCTGGAAAACTCGATACGACTGGCCAGTTGCTCATCAATGTAGGCCCTACAGGAGGTCCGCTCTGGAACATGGCCCAATCAAACAAACACTCAGGACAACTCGTTCGGGAAGGAAGCGCCCACACGTGCATCTCTTGCAAGGCTCGTGCCTACCCCAGTGTATGAACGGCAGGTTGTGGTTTGCATTGTAACTAACACACAGAACGCGAATGAGTCTGACATCAGTGGGCCCAAGTGTGAGTGGGCCTGAATATGAGGATCTCAACAAACATGTGAGAAGAGGAAGGGACATCAAGGGAGGAGGAGGACGGAACAGAACATGAGACGGGGGAGCAATGAAACGCGCCTATTCAAACTGCCAGTGTGCCTGACATGTCCCAACGATACGGGCGCGAACGCGCCTGTGATAACAGTCTGGTCGGCTGCGGCTCTTAATTTACATGGTGAATGGCACAACCATATGAATGTGTGGATATCGTCGCTATATGCGCCGCATTCGGAGGAGCTCCCTGTAATGCCACGAAGCGTGCGACGGGTGTGCCAAAATGGGTGCGGTAGGCGCATGCGAACGCAGCCACGGGGGCCGTCGGTGGGGCTTTCTAACGCGGTGGGCGTATGCGAACGCAGCCACTGGGGCCGCTGGTGGAATTCGCTATGGGGCCACGAAACGTGTGAGGTGTGTGTGTGTGTGTTTGTGTGTTTGTGTGTTTGTGTGTTTGTGTGTTTGTGTGTTTGTGTGTTTGTGTGTTTGTGTGTTTGTGTGTTTGTGTGTTTGTGTGTTTGTGTGTTGTGTGTTTGTGTGTTTGTGTGTTTGTGTGTTTGTGTGTTTGTGTGTTTGTGTGTTTGTGTGTTTGTGTGTTTGTGTGTTTGTGTGTGTGTGTTTGTGTGTTTGTGTGTTTGTGTGTTTGTGTGTTTGTGTGTTTGTGTGTTTGTGTGTTTGTGTGTTTGTGTGTTTTGTGTGTTTGTGTGTTTGTGTGTTTGTGTGTTTGTGTGTTTGTGTGTTTGTGTGTTTGTGTGTTTGTGTGTTTGTGTGTTTGTGTGTTTGTGTGTTTGTGTGTTTGTGTGTTTGTGTGTTTGTGTGTTTGTGTGTGTTGTGT